AATTTCCTATTTTAAAATTCCCATCACCACTTAATACGATATTATTAATATAAATAACATTATTCAATAAAATTAAATAACAATTTAATATAAAATAACAAATAAAATACATAATAATAATTAAAATAATAAACATAATTAATTTAATTATTAAAAAAATATCTAGGACAAAATTCAAACATATTAATATAAATTTATTAGTAAATTAATCAAGTCCCTTCTCGTAGCAGGCCTCGATGTATCTATCTGTCTGTTTTTCTATCTATCTATCTATCTGTCTGTTTTTCTATCTATCTATCTATCTATCTTATCTATCTATATCTATCTATCCCCAAATAGAGGGGGTCGGCGGTACAAAATTTACACAACATACTTCCCAATAATAATACTTTTTAATACTACTTCGATTCGCGCTCTAAGATTTGCACGAAAGATTTCCCGATATTGTTTCGCACTACAAGACTTGCGCATCATATTTTCCAATACTACGTCATATAAAAAATGCGCAAAATTCTAAGCTCACACAAAATACTTCCCAATACTATTTTGTATTACAAGACTTCCATAAAATATTTCCCAGTACTGCTTTGTACGACAAGCTTGCACACATTTGCACACAATATTTCCAAATGAAACTTTGTACTATAAGCTCGCTTTCCGACACTACTTTGCAGTACAAAGCTTGCAGAACGCACTTTCCATTACTACTTCGTAATACAAAAGGGAGCCGCGTTTTGGGAACGAAATTAAATGGTGTTTTGGTGCTTCGGAAGCGCCTCAATGGCATATAATGAGCCTCGGCAGGTTCGCTGACTGCGAGATCTCGCAAAACACCTGGAAAAATCTGAAACATGTTGAATGTCAATAGGATTGCAGCAGGGACGTTAGGAACTTTTTGGGACTTCTTTTGTTACGTTTTTGGGACCAAAACTAGGTGGTGTTTTTGGGGAAGCGCCCCAACACCATATAACTTTTATCGCATTTGCTACAAGCTGCGGTATGTAAAGAACATCACATTGTGCTCTGTGTGCACGCAAGCTCGCGCAACACTCAGCATAACCCTTATGACGTCGCCGGTGGGCGAAGCTCTACAATATTAATTCATCCAAATATCTCGCCATCTTTGCGACACTTGCTCATGGCATCTAATGGCAAACATCTTCTACATATTAATCCATTACATGTCATTACCCAAGTTACCCCGAGGCAAATCAACTCAACACAACAGTGTCTGGTACCACTGTCTCTACGGGTGAACGATGGTGAGCGGCTGTAGAGGCACGCCCTTTTCGAGACAAAGCTGCGCACAGACTGCAGTGAAACGTGTGGGTGGGACGAACCACCAAGGCGTCTGTCACTCCAGTGACTTCAAACTATTCGTCATCTCCAGCGATGGAGATTCCTCAGCGAAGGCGGGCCACATCCACTTTGCAATGTCAATCAATGGCTGACATGATGCAAATTATATATATAGATGATTATACATGATTATAAATGCTATCAGTGCTGTCGATCCCTGCCGAGCTACACCCTCCTCCATGTTGAGCAAGGGATCGGGAGATGATATGCGATTGAAGGTACTCCGTTCCTGCTGGCAGCACCATGATGGATGTCAATCATGGATGGATGGATGGATGGATGGATGGATGGATGATGACTCCTGGGAACACATCAGCTCGTGACCCTTTCATTGTCCGATATCGCTGTCCTCGTCGAAGTCCGCGAAGAGAACTGCCAATGAGAACCCCGCCGCTGCTAGGACCTTTCACAGGAAGAGTATGGTATTGTACCCTGGTCAAAGTCTATCACGAACTGTACCCTCCCAGTGTCCCCATGCAGATCATGACCATCAAGAGGAAATATTTTGCACCACCTGGACATCCTTGAGTACTTTCGTGTTCAGTGTGTGAGACCCTTTACAATGAGCAAACAGAGAAAGACGACTTAAACCCAGGCCTGAAACAGGGCCACCAAACGAAACGATGCCCCAATGCTCCAAGAATCCATGGCCTGCAAAAAGGGTTGAACATGATTGAACCACAGAGAGATATTTCAGGATTTCAGCAAATTCACAAGGACTTTGATGGTGAGCCTTTCCAATGGCATAGGGCATGGGCATGGCGAACAATATGTTGTTCAATTGCACCTTCGGAGCGGTTGTTCAAGGACAAGCATTGTTGGAATGGCGACATTTCTTCACAGGGCCTGATACACAGACGCCTCAATGACCCGGCTGGACGTCAAGGCCTTAGACTGTGAATCATGGTGCACGTCGAATCACGGTGCAGTGGGTGCAGCTCTGCAAATTCCATCTGTATTTCTGTTCCACAAAAAACCCACACTGCGAGGTCAGGACAATATTGATGATGCCTTGCCTGGGCCGATAGGATCTGATAGCTACACTCAACATGTCTCAACATGTCTCAACTCTGGGACTGCCCATGGCGGTATCTCAGGGCCCTACGCAGCTGGGTATACTCCGCCAGCGGCGAAGAACGTAATAAACATCGAGGGCCTGGAGCAGTGGATCCCAGGCGCAACGCAAGATGACCCAGAGCAAACGCGTCAAACAAGCTCAAGAACATCAAGAACCAAAATCAATAAATGAATTTAAAAATCAGTAATTGAATACAATAGTAAAAAAAAAATCAGTACCTGGTATTACCTGGTAGTATCTGGTACTGGTATTACTCGGTCTTACCATATATATTATATATTAATACCAATGACCTGCCATCACTAAGCTCCAAACCAAAACATGGAGCTGGGCACATATGGAAGAATTGCTGCAAGCAGCGCCGCCACTGTGGAGATGACGGCCAGGAAAATGAGTGTCCTCCAAGATACGCCAGCAGTTAATATATGTTAATATATGTTAATAATTGTTAATATATGTTAATGAAGATCATGAATCCATTGGAAGCTGATTGAGGAATGAAAGAAAATCGAAGAAAATTGAAGAAACTTGACTGTGTTTGAATCACTCCGGAAGCTTCTGCTAGCCTTCTCTAAAGCTTGGACCCTTAGAATCCTTAGAACATGATATGAACTTCACCCTTCAAATCTTTCCGGTCCTCTTGTGCTGACCCCACTTGTCAGGTTGAACAATGGAGCCCGACATGGCCACGCTTCCGCCTGGAAGTGACTGCAGTCACATGAAAAATCATGTTGCAACACATCTGTGCAACACATCTGTGCAACACATCTCCAAACATCGGACTTACGCATTGGAAAACACTTATGCATCAGTTTGAGAAACAAAAACAGCAACGGAAATCCGAAAATCAACATCCATGGGTGAACTGAGGCGGTAGCCAAGTGCGGGTCCCAGCAAAGCAATTCCCTCAGGATTTCCAGATGGGATTTCAAGCTGCTCGGCTCAGTTCCATCCAAGCCATCCAAGCCATCCAAGATGGATCAGTTCGATCAGTTCGTTCTTCGGCCCCGGCAGAAAAAGTGGCCAGAATGACATGCAGACCAAATCCTCTTGACCTGGTCACTTGGCATTCCATGGCATTCCCCAATCTGACAAGTACTGATATCTGTGCATCACCGAAGGGTACAAAAAAAGGGTCTGAGTTCATTGCAGAGCGTAGTCACGGATGACGTATTTGCACCTCGAGAATCAACAGCAACAGCGACGGAGTGGATTGGCGTCATCCGCGCTGTTCTCTGGCGCTGGGATTCCCACCCACCAAGGAAGCCCAGTTGGGCTGCGAGCGACGCATTTGTCGCCCAGTACCTTCGGATCAAACGTCCAAAAATTCTGGTTGGTGGTTGAGCCACCTGAGAAATATGAAAGTCAGTTGGGATATGTTGGGATTATGAAATTCCCAATATATGGAAAAATAAAACATGTTTCAAACCACCAATCAGATCTGAAATCAGCTGATCTCAACATCTGAGAAGTTCCTGGCAGGTGATCCATCACGTGATCTCTCACTCCAGGTCTGGGGTTCTGGCACACCCCATTTTTCTGTGCTGGGGTATTCAACTTCACCTTAGCAACATCCCAAAACTTGATGAGCTGGCGTGGATTCCAAAGATTTAAGTCCTGGGTAGCTGACTCACAACCTTCTCTTCGCCTCAGCATTATCAGCATTCCTAGCAAAAGACCACACTGGAGTAGTAGTAGACAGTTCGTCGAATTCCAAAATCTTCCAAAGAATTTGAGTAATAACCTGGTGGATCTCCTGATGGTCAACATATGCCACCTGGTGGATCCACATATATATATAATTTCAATGCCATCTTCTGCCTTGGGCCGTGGCTGCCTTGACTGCCCCGGCTGTCGGTCTTTGTTACCGACTCTTCTGCGAAGTCCAGGTATCCTGGCATAGGGATAGGGACTGGCAAAGTTTTAATTCAACACATAGGTATATTACTATACAGCATTATATGTTATATATATATTATATATATATATGTGATATATAATCTATTATACAGGTATTATATATATATGTATCATCTATAATATACAGGTATTATATTTATATATAATCAAATATGATAGTGCCTAGTGCATAATTATATATAATTATCATAATTGTGCACATATCCCAAGATGGGTCCTAATTATTGCCATAAATTGAACTATTTTTTTACCAAGTGATCACGTGCCAATCACAACAGCGCCAGGAAGGCTTCGCCCACCATAGGCCAAGCAAAGCAGCGCGCTACCCCCGAAGGCGATAGCTTGCCCTACAAAAGCCCAGCGCCAAGAATAGCCGGCGTTGACCAATTCCTGGACATGTCCGACATGTCCAAAAGCAGTCAATGATAGAAAAAAGGTTTCAAGAGCGGAAACTCATGTGGCACTTCTATGCACTTCTTACTTCTTGACATTCTGAGATATGGATGGAAATTCATGACTCTATATGTATGTATGTATGGATGGATGGATGGATGGATGGATGTATGTATGTATGTATGGATGGATGGATGGATGGATGGATGCATGCGTGCATGCATGTACATATATGAATGCAGCAAAATAAGTCCCAGTCCTGCGCCAGAATGAAGCCCACGTTCTCTCCCAAAGGGACCATTGCGTGCAGGATGGCATTCCAAACCTAAATTCAGCAAGGCATCTGAGCAAACAAATGTCATTCAGAATTGCCAAGGTCTGGACATTCCAGTTGTGGCTTCCATGGCGGGCCAGCCACTCCTGAAGCCAACGCCAGCGAATGCCATCAGTAACCTACGAGTTCCATCCCGCTCAATGCGCCTGCAAGTATGGAAGGAAAGGTGCTTCAAAGAAGCCAACCAGAAAGCGAACCTTGACACAGTGACTACACGCATCTACTTGCCACTTGGTCGCCATGGAAAGACTCTTCAAGCACGATGAAAGCATCTCTGAAATCGAAACTACTTGAGAATACAACGAAACCATCTGAAACCCTGTGAAATCAGTCCATATTTCATTAGTTTTCATAAGTTTTTATATCTTCATCTATCTTCATATAACATAAATAAATAAATCAATCAATAAATAAATAAATACATAACTATATTATATATATATTATATTTATACATCTTCAAATATATCTTCCTTCTCTTCCCTTTTTTCAAAGGAGGCATCCAAGTTCGGCACCGCGTAGATCTGGTGCAGCGTGATACCCGGGATTGTCATCAGCAGCATGGCCACGACATCCAGCACAGTGCATACCGCGACCACGTTGAACTCCCCGAAGGTCCTGCGTTTGTGTTGGTTGAACCAGGCTTGAAAAAACACTAAGATCTGGTTTTAATATGTTTTAATATGTTTATAGCTGGGAAAATCGAATCTATTTTGATTAGGGCCATCTATACCATGGCGAACTGTGAAAAATAACCAGAGGGTAACATCAAATGCACATACTACATTGAGTAAATGTTGACTAAATGACTAAATCCTGATTTTTGCATCGTTTTCAACCCTTTTCCCTACACCATGAGTCACCAAGTCCAGAAATTGCCAAAGGCTTCCGTCCTGATCGCCCAAGGGGTCAGAGGCAAACCCAAGCAAACGCCCATCATCACCCACCTTAGCCAGGTGCCAGGAACACAATGACGAGGAATCGCAGAATCCACCCCAAAAAAAGGAAAAAACCAATCAATGCAGCGAAAATTGAAGAGCAATCTCAACTTTCGAGAGTTGAGACAGTTAAGCCTCGACTTTCGAATCTTTCGATCAGCCAAATCATTATAATTATTGAACATGCTCCGTCAAACCAAACATGAGAGGCTCCCATTCCCAACAAGACACAGCTGACCAAACCTGAGGTTCCAACGATCCGAGGGCCAGGTTCATCGCTTTAGAATTCCTGTGTTGGGCGGCATGATATGTTTAAAATTTTGCCAGACTATTGTAATGGATAAATGGATATTAACATTAACATATCATAATTACATATCATTAACATTCAAATCATTCAACAGACATCAATAGATCCATTAACATTTAGAACACTTCTATAATATCTATGGATAGTCTATTGTATTAAGCCATCCATTTTGACCTAGCCCCAATCAGGGCCTGCCGTTTTTTTGTCTGTTTCCTGAGGTCAGCACCCTGGCAATGAAACAGCAACACCGATGTTCGAGCCGTGCCCGAACTGACACGAAAAGAAGAAGACCAGGATCAGGACATAGAGCACCAAGGAGTCTCGCTCCCTGCGTCACGGCAAGACACAAAGGGACCTGAATGGATCCGTATGGACCTTTGCTTTTCGAAGAATACATGGAAACACATTGAAGAACTATGTCGTTAATGTCATCTGGTCTGGGTTGTCTCATATAGATTCATATAGATTCAGTCTCTCCAGTACAAGAACTTCAAGTGTAAAACAAGTTCTACAAGTTACTTCTGGCGTTCTCTCTTTTCGTGCTCGAAACTTGGCAAGAAAAACTTGGCAAATTCGCCCGAAGTCCAATGGTGATCCCGTAGATAAAAAGTTGATCTCCAGTCCGTCTCCCGTGGCAAGTCCAGGCCTCTTTTTGTTTGTTCTCTCATCCATCCACGACATGTTTGTACTTGCCATTCCCCAGAAGACGTCAAGACACTCTGTTCTGGATTTCGTTGCTGGAAATTCCCAGGTCTGTGAGCATGCAAAGTCTAGATTTGATACCAAACTATTCCAAATAATCTTGGAATCTTTCAGAATCCCAACTTGTGTCATGTTAGGGAAGGTTCCATGTTTTTGCACAGCGAGATTGCAGCCACGACTTTTCGCCAGGCCTTTAGCCAACAGCACAGCGAAATGGCTTCATATAATCACGGCCAGGTTTATGTCATGACAGCAGGATGTTGATCTTCGCCTTGTTGCTAGTGGCAGTCCAGGATTCATCATATTCATACTGCTCCCAAACGTAGCTCGATTCAAATGATGCATTCATGCGTGAAGCCTGTGAATTCGACCAAACTATCCAAAACTCAATAGAACATCATCATTTAGTTTCAACATTTTTAAACATCAACATCACTGGGCCGGACCCTTGGTGATCCATAGTGGTAATCTGGTGGTCCTGTGATCGTTGTGACTGTGCGGCCCAGCCCTTTTTGCCGTCGCCAACGCGTTTCCGCAACCGACTTTGTCGGAGGTCCAAGGCGCAAGCCTCGCCGAGATACTATTTTTTCCATTTGCAAAAAGACATTGATGGCCATTTAGGCCATTTTATGGCATGTTTCATCCTTTTCTGATTTTATGATTTTATGGTATGCTTTTGAGATAGGTACTGTTAATTACTGTCATACCTTGCCATACATGATTTATTAGATTGTTCGCATGAGATGTTTAGAACATATCATATATTATATGAATGCACATATACGTGCAGTTGTCAAAAAAACGTATGGGGTATCATTAGGGATTCCTTTAGGGCATGTTGACCTGGATTGATGATCATCTCCCAACATGACATATACAGGGTTTGACCCTGGCACATATGAGACCTGACATGGTAAACTCCCAAGGAAAATGCTGCCCAAAGAGGGATCCAAAGCAGCTGGGTCCTGTGGTTTTGGCAATGACTTGCGCAAGCAGTATTAGCTAATGTATGCATAGTATTAGCTAATGTTAACTCTGTCCACTCGGCTGGCTCTTGCAAACCAGCATGCCTTTGGCATGCGTCTTCTCAGAGAAATCATGAAACAAACGGCGCAAGTGGTCTGCGTCTTGTGAGAACACCACTGCACTGCACTGTGTCCATCTTGCGCTGTGAGCCCCGTCAGTGCACGATGGCACCAATCACAGCACAGGTGCGACATGCGCGACCTTTTTGAGCACACAACGTGCAGGAGACGTGGAGTTTAACTGCAGGGGCAGTCTCTGCACCCACACGGCCCATACGCCTGCAAAACCACAAACGAAAATGTGTCTGTTTGTGCTTAGAGCTGTCCCTTGCGGCCCCGACAATGGTGAAATGCTGTTTGAAAAACTTGGACCCGTGCGGCCGCCTTCGCACGTGCAAAGTGCTCTGGGGACCTGCAGCTTGTGGCCGCATGGCAGGGGAGCATGGGCGAAGCATTGTTTGATCATCGGAAGCTTTGTGTTTTGCAGGTTGCAAACAATGTGATTTGATTGCCAAAATCAGTAGAACACCGCCTCCCCTATCCTTACACATCATTTCTTATGAAAATACAGGAACAGTTGACGTATGGTCGTGTAGCCTGCAACGTCTAAACAAGCTGTGCCCCGGTGCCCCGGCCTACTTTTCTTCCTCTTGAGAATATCCGCCTGCAAGGATCACGGTGACGTTGAGACGCTGAGGCCATCTGAGGCCATCTGAGGCCATCTGAGGCCATCTGAGGCCATCTGAGGCCATCTGAGGCCATCTGAGGCCATCTGAGGCCATCTGAGGCCATCTGAGGCCCTAACCCAAGGGAGGTAAGCCCAGGTCGCCAAGGATTTCATTGATCCTGCCCGGAAACTGCGCAACATGCACGTGCTAATGACCACTTATCTGGTTTTGGGAATCTAAAGACTCGAAAGTTGTGGTTCAAATAAGTTGAAACTTGTCATTGATGCGCCTTGTTTTCGCAGCAGGTTCAATTTCAACATCCTCAAGCAGGTCCAACATCTTCTCTATGCCTCACGCGTGTCGAAATCACGAGGCTTACAACGGCGCAACAGCTTCCAACCGCTGCCTACGTCTTTGAAGCGGTCAACCTGGCTTGAAGCGATCAAAGATGTTTCCCACATTGTGCCACTTTGTTCTATCTGTTTCGATCTTAGCCTTTCCTCCTTTCCTGCCTTTCCTGCTCTTGCTAAGGACAGTCTCTATCTCTCTTTCTCTTTCTCTCAGTGTCCTTCACTGATTTCATTTTTGATTATCAAGCAGTCTTGACACAATCACACCCGAAACCGCCAACGTTGTCTCCTGTTGTCCGGTTTCCAGTCATCCAAGCCTTGTGTTTGAGTTCATGCTTGGTGACAGCGGTATTTCGCATAACCACCATGCGCGTCCTCAGCGCAAAGTCTAACTCCGGAGCGAAAAAAATTCAGTTGAGCCAAACCTGATGGGAATGGCTTAGCCAATGACCTTTTAAATTCTTAAATACCCTTAAGCCATTGAACATATTGAACCTTGCACCTCCAATTCTGCCAGGGCACCTATCAGCTTCAGCTTTCTGATCCTCCAATGCCTGCAGCTCATTGGAGCAAAAATGGCAGCCGAAAACAGGAAAAATCTGCAGCCGGCCTGCGCTCTTTGACGAACCGCCAAGAGATGCTCAATTTGCTGGTCAACAGAGTGCGCATGTGCCTCATGGATCCAACTCGCACGGCAACTGGTGAAGTTCTAACACTTTTTGTCTTTTTTGCGTCTCTATTATAACAAGGTTGCAGATTCAGATGTGAATGCAGTTGCCCTTCTGATAGCCATAAATGCTAGTGAGAATCCAATCTAAGCGCATGCAAAGAGAATCCACATGGTCAACACACAGGAAACACAGACCTTCAACACACCAATTTACTTATCACTTGACTATCAATCTCCAATCTCCAAGCATTGAACATGACGGTTCTGTGAGCCATGAAAGTAATTGAAACTGATATCATCTGATATCCCTGATTTACAAAATCTTCTTACATCTATTCTTCAATCAGAGCACGCCTGAGCCACAGTTTTTAACTGTTTTCCCGCTTACAGTTGGATGGAGTTCTTTTTCAAGTGCAAATGTCTCTATAAAGCATGTGCTCCAAGTGCAATTGTCCACAAAAGACCATGAATGGTCACTTTTTGAAGTGGATAGGAACGGATTTTTTGAAAACACTCAGGCTGCAGCGCGTCGCAGTCTTTCACGGTTTTCCGCGGCCAGGGCTGCCTTAGAAACAGCCAGGTGTTTCATGAGTTTCAGCAGCCTCATTGGGCAAGCGAATGCCGCAAGTGGAAGAAAACCCGTGTGCTGCCAGCATTTCATTCTGTTCAGATTATGTTGAAGTGCTGCTTCGCTTTTTGTCCGAATCAGTCTCCCAAGAGTAAGTGTTCCAACAGTGTCAAACATCTGTTGACGGTTTTTGTTTCCCTGGTTTTTCTGACAGAAAATCCCTATTTTTCCTCAGCAAACCGCACATCAAACCGCACATCTCCAGAGGATCAGCTGAGTTCCGAGACGAAGTGCTCTGCGTCCTCACGGGCTCTAAGGAGCTCTGGCCTCTCCCTTGGTCGGAGCCTGGCATCGATCCAGGAACAGTAGAATCAGATGCAGATATATGCAGATAATGAAGAACATGATTTTTATGATATCCAATGATATCCAATGATATCCAATGAGATGATGATTGATGATGATCCAATCTATCCATTGATATCAGATAAATATAGATCAATGATTGATATCATTGATAAATGATGATAAATCTGTGGATCTCATGGATCATGTGATGGATTTCATGGACCTCATGGAGGGAACCTCGACGTATGAACGTGACCCGTTGCAAACAACTTGCCGCGGCCGACGTTTCTGAGGCTGACCGCTGCAGACTCCTGCAGAAGTTCATCCATCATTTCGATCTATTTCGATCATCAACTGCACTCACAGATCCTAGGAATACACTGGAATACACTGGAATACACTGGAATACCGGGAATTGATGATGATGGATCATGATGGATCCTCTTATGTCAAATATAAGGGATGGGTACATCGGGTACATCGATTGTGGTGGGAATCCAGCCACCTGGACTCCCAGTTTCTTCGGAACTCTTCATGTTCTCGTTCTCGGTCTCGGATCAGATTTTCATACCTGCGATGCACCAGTCATCGCACCAGAAATCACTCCGCACATCTCTTCTATGCAGCTTCTGTGTTTCTGCACCTTTACCCACACTTTGAGCTGTTTGAGATACAGTCAGCAGGAAGAGTCCAAGGAGAACCACACAGTTATTCCAGTTTTTGACTGCAACAAAGACCTCGCAAGTTGCTAAGTCATGAGATTCACCGACTTTTCATGGGGCATGAATCAGCAAATGTTACCTGTTTGGTGCAGCCTCAGCACATTCCACAAATCGTCATTGTGGATGATCATTCTGAAAGATAGACACATTTGATACCGCATGATATCACATACAACAAGCTGGGAATATCTAGTCTGGTTGGTGGTTTCAATCCCTCTGAAAAATATGAGTCAGTTGGGATTATGACATTCCCAACTGAATGGAAAGTCATAAAATTCCATGGTTCCAAACCACCAACCAGATCATATATACCCTCTGGTAAACTAACATAGCTATGGCAAATGGCCCATAGAAATAGTTGATTTACCCATTAATAGCATGGTGATTTTCCATAACTATTAAAAATGCATTTTGTTGACGACTCCGAATTGTGCCTGATGACGAAGGCCTTTCGCTTCTTCTCATTGTCAGTCTGAGACCGCGGGAAGCTGATGCTCAGATGCCGATCTAAATTGATGCCAGTGATATCCGTTTAGATACCATAACTATCAGTTTAGATATCACTATACAGATACCACTTATCAAATACCAAACAGTGTGGTATCCACACTGCATATTCCAATATACCATACAAATACCATACAGATACCATAACTATCCGGCAAACACCATGAAATGAAACATGTTATGCACCGCTACCCGGCTGGCGCCTTGAACTTCAGAGTCTTGGCCAAGCCCTTCTCCTCACGGCTGGCCTGGGCCTCGGAGAAGTCGATGATTTGGGGCAGAAACTGCCAAAATATATAAACATATATAAACATATGAAGAAAAACAATACACAACACATGCCAATCATCAGAAATCAGTCAGGAATCGGATCTTCAATGATAATCAATGATTAGTCAATGAATATCAATGAATATGAATATCAATGAATATCAATGATAAATCAATGAGAATCAGGAATGAAACAAGACAGGGCCTTCTTGTGCTTCACCCTCGCTTCGTCATATTTGTCTTCAATGGATGCCTGCCAGACGAAAGCGAATACACACTGCTGTGCTTGTTTCGCCACCTCCACACCTTGATTGGAGACAAAAGGTAGGGAAGACAGGAAGAAAACCGAAGAAAACAGAAGAAAACAAGAAGAAACATGGAATGCCTGTTGAACGTCCATACCGGGTTCCCGGTAAGAGAAACACAAGTCACACCATTGGGTTTCCGTGAGTGAAAAAAAGCAGATGGCGAGATGAGGGAGATCATTGGGAAAGGATAGCAAGGAGATGCAAGGAGCATGGGGATAAACGCGGATAAACGTGATGCTGAAGACAAGCGCTGAGCATGGTAATAGTATGTAATAGTGCGGATGAGAAACGGTCTTGAGTCTTGATGATCATGATTATGATTATCACTTATCACTGTTATTTGTTGATGGTCATGGATGCAAACGCAAGGACGCTCAGGACCAGAATGATCTCTATATCTTCAGTGGTGAACAGACCCATTTCAACTTAAACATCATCCAGCTGTCGGAAATATCGTGAAATTTCATGAACTATCATCAGATACTATCATCCATGTTTGAAGTCCCCAACCAGGACATTTACCAAAATTACGATCGCTGTTTGCCGGGCTGATAGCTCTACCATGCTCCACCTTTAATATGATTCTGCAGCATGGTGGAGCATGGTGGACCCATATGCTGACCATGTTTGAACCATATGATATACATCATGATATATCATGTGATGTTCTTGTTTCGGTGGTCACTGGTGGTTTGGAGATGTTTGGAGATCCTCACAACATCTGACAACCATACTGATGATGACGAGTCATGACAACAACAATGGCATTCATGACGAGAAGGACAAGGAGGATGCGGACTGTACTTCGGGGGAGTTGAAAGGAGTTGAAACACACCTCATTTTTGTTGGAAAGAAATGCCATCATTTTTGCATTCAGTGAGTGCGCGCCTTCACTCTTCCATGGAACTCAGGTGGCTAACGCTACTGGTGATCACTGGTGATCACTGGTGATCACTGGTGATCACTACATCATGAGTCCTTGGCACCCCCTGCCTGCTGATTTGCAAGGTACTCCGCTACCTCGGTTTAGAAATTTTCGCTAAGCGAATCGATACTCAAGCTCATCTCTTTGACACCATTTCACTGTAAAAGATTCCGCCAGCGATGATCCGGAAAAAACACACATCAGGGATCTGGAAGAAAGATCAGGGGTGTTGGATTGACATGGATTGTTTACGTCGAAATATATAGTCTATATATGTCTATCTACCTCCGTCAGTCATGTGAGTGAATCGTGTTCGTAGCAACTCGTTTTTTTCGACACCTCTCCACCAAGGTGCCCTCTGCCGGCACTCCAGCTCTTTCTGCAAGAGCTTCTCTTTGTTGGAGACCCTCTGAGATAACAGCTCCGTCAGCCTCAGGGTGCTGTGTTTATACCGAATCATACTGAGTCATATCAGCTGCCATCAAATGGCGGAAAGCATGTCTACACAGTTTGTGATGACTCTAGATGACCTAAGTCTGAGTGACTCCAAAATTTGCAGAGAAGGAACAGCTGTTCCTACCCAGCTGCTTGCAGCTTACATGTCGTACTAATTAAGCAAGCCATAAGAAAGGGCAAGCAAACATAGTAAATGTCTAACCATGTCTAACCATGTCTAACCATCAAACCCAAACATCCAAGGTATGGAAAATCAGGTCCGAGTCGAAGATGTCCTTAGCATCTCACAGCTCTTGTTTTCGCACATGCTTCTCCTCTATGGCGTCATGCATGTCCTGCCGATGCCAAGGGAACAAGAAGGATACCAAAAAACCATCCATCAAACACTAATGACAGTCGCATCGAATGCAAGCTAAGCAATAGGTATATGTTGGGAACACAGTAGAATGCGCACTTACAGAAAGCTTTGAAACCACTTGTCTCCTCACGTTTGTGAACTAGCATCTGCTCGAAAGCGGCCTGAAACAAATAGCATTGTCACAGTCTGTTGCGAGCATTTGAGATCAATGCCCCACCATCAAAACATCAAAATCAAAATGGAATGGCTGAGGCGAAAAGAGATGCTAAAATCAAACATCTACATTATGCTAAGACATTGGTTTCATCAAAAGCTTTCCAGTTGGCTTTCGTTCGCAGTGATTTTGGCTTGATCTTTGAAAGTCGTGAACACTTCTTTGGGGTGCCAATTCATCCATGGCCAACTGAAAACCCTTCCAGCCTTCTGCTTTCGAGCTTCTATTCCTCTGACCTGTCATCCATGTATGCCATGTCACGTCAAAGCCTTCCTGTTTGGTTCTTGGGTCCCAACATAACATCTATGGGCCTAAGTTGATGAATGTTGCAAAGTTCCCCTTCAGCTAGGTGTGTCAAACATTCTCAAACTCAGGAACCCTCAAAGGAATCAAACCTTCTTTCAAACATATCTGTGTGAGAACACCATAAGTGCATTGTTCTTAGTTCAAACTGGCAAGACGCATTCTGTTTAAACATGTTTAAAAGCTATTGACGCTTTTTGCATATATGAGGCCGAACTGATTGGCCCCAGCCGTATCAAACCTGAGATACTCTGGCTTTCGGCCCTAAACAATGTTTACAAAAACATGTTTCGGTAGCATGTTGGAACTCCAAGATTTTACACCAAAGAAATTACATGATGTACATGTCATGTTTGATGATTCATGATAATTTACCAACATTATCAGCAGTTATTCCACACATTTCCACAGGACAAACCTGACACGGGATGGACCCGACCTGCTTCGACTCGATGGAATCGTCGTGCGCCTGTCTGATGTCAGCCAAGCACTTGGCGACGCGATCATCTGCCTGCCAGGTGTTCAAAACCTGTTTGGTTTGGATCGTTTTGGTGTCTGATTTTGTGACATCTGGAAAACTTCAAGGTGTGTACAGAAAACGACCTGCGAATAGTCTGAATGTATCCAAAGCGCTGCAGGTGACTGATCGGATTTTTTCAGAGCCGTTTCAGAGTACAGAAAAGACAGAACATTGAAATGCTTCTTGTAATGAGCTCAATTCGCAATTTCTTCTAAGTAATTGTATTCACAATTCAGTTCCAAATCGTACGCAGCATTTTTTTTGTACAACATGGTACAGCGTAAATCAACATCAAATGAAGTGACCCGTCCCGACCTCCTTCAGCTGTTGCCGGATCTCTTCGCAATGCATTTGGAGCTGACGGTCGTTTCTTTCACGCACCTGTCGGGCGAGGCTCTAGCTGTCTAGCTGTCTAGCCAACCTCCAACCACAGCCTTTGACCCTTTGAGAGTCCATTGATGTCCATTGCGCCTCTCTAGTCTGCTCTCTCTTTTTGTCCGCCTGCACGCTTGGAACAAGTATGAACAAGTGTGTAGTCAACACAGCTCTTGGGAGGTGGAAAACACAAGAAGCCAAGCTGGGTCAAATTTTCTTGGAGAAAGGAACAGAAATGAATTGATGTCTGCACGTTTTTTATTTCACGTTCATTTTGCTACTGGAGGAATTCCCAAATGGTTTCAGAGATGCTTGTTATATCATGTTATATCAGTGTTGCATACTTCTGCGTGCCTTTTTCTGCTGCTCCTTAAGCCAATCATCTCGTTCCTTCTTCAGCTGGAGCATTCGCTTCTTGTTTTCCTGCTCCCAACGCCAAGTCATCCAAGTCATCCAAGTCGAACAGTCTTGGAACAGTCTTGGAACAGTCTTGGAACAGTCTTGAACAGTCGCTCAACAGCGTGAAGCTCGTGAAGCTCTGGGAAGCAGAATTGATCCATTTCTGACCGCAGAGTATCGCGGAGTCCTCCTGCTTCTTCTTTCCTTTCTCAAATTCTAGTCTGCTTTCCAGCTCCTGAGAACAACTTCGCGTCTGTTCGCCATTGCTAGCCGCGCTGCCCTCTGAAGCCAACCCCAACAGTCCTTGATCACGGTCTTCTGAATGTCTTTCTGCACACAGGGAAGAGAAGGAAAACGGCTCCGCAGGGACAGAATGTCATTCTATTTGGATCTTACTGATCTTCTTGCCCGATCATCAAGGGCACAATAGACTATGACACTATGGTAGATGCACTATGTCTATGTGACTATGCTTATGCCTCTTGCAAAAGCTCCTTCACCACGACATGGACATGGCACATTAGTCCACATTAGTCCACATTAGTCCACATTGTCATTTCAGGTATCCCCGGTATCCCCGGTATCCCCTCTGTTGTCTCACCTTGGCCATTCGGGCCATGGTTTCCATGGTCTCCCGTTCCTTCCGAAGTATCTGGCGCAGGGAGTTGACAGAAACTGGCGACAAGCAGCTGAAAATTCCGTTGGCCAAGGAAAGTGATGTAGATTGATGTAGATGGACGTAGATGGATGAGCTGTGACGAATTTATATGAATTGATCTATGAAATGATCTATGAAATGCACTGAAAATTCTGAGATCTGCCTCCTCCAGGAAATTGGCATTCATGTCGCCTGAACCGCCGCGCTCCTGCCATTGCCCCACCCCGACACCACCGAATCCACCGAATCCACCGAATCCCGGAGGATCCACTGATCTGCCCTGCCTGAGGTCCTCTGCTCGCCAAAGTTGCGACCTTTTTCAAAGCTGGAGACGCAAAGCTGCAGTAAAGCTGCAGTAAAGGTCGGTTAGACATGGACTTTGCAACGAAAACTACACTAAAACAGAAACAACTCATGGCAATTTGATGTTTCAAATGCACCAATGACTCTAGACAGTCATTCACCCTGAGAACATGGCTTGTTCAATCAGCGTTCTCCTCTTCTTTTCAAAGAGCAAGTGCTTGTTCTGGCGGCAAAAATCAATTTCGGTTGGGTCAGACATGGATGAAAATCCGGCAAAAAACAATGCAAAACAGCTGATTTTATATGTGTTATCAATGTCTTCAGGCCACCTTATTGCCGTCGTATTCCTGGATTTCCTGCCAAGTCAGCCAGAATGTCAGGTTGGGCCAAGAAACGAACCTGCTTCTAACATGTCAAACTTGTCCCAGCTTTCCCTTAATATCTTGCATTATCTTGCAAAGTGTTGGTGTCTGTCTACAGCCCATCAAATCCCGGTGCCTCCAAACCAAACAACCCAAGTTCAAACAAACTCATCACTGTTGAACATCGTGACATCTTTCAAGGTATCTGTGGTATGTGTGGTATGTGTGGTATCTGTGGTATCTGTATCTTTCTCATCTGCACCATCTTGGATCTTGGCAGGTCCAAGAACCAGTGGCAAGGCGCTCAAGAAACCGAACCAACTGTCTGCGGAACGGCAGAGCTCCCCGCAATGCCTTCTTTTCGAGATCTGAAGGAATTATGCCCATGACCCGCATGGCAGCCCGCACTCGAGGGGACCTCGCAGAATCGTGGCATCATACGAGTGATGCAGCAATTGAACACTTTTTTGAGGATCTTGAGGTGTGATCTTCTCTGATTCCAAGATATTTGTAGATTTATAGCGCATCCTCTATACTTCAAACATTGTACACAGCGAATTGCTCGAGGTTTGATTTTCCCTCTGGGCGTCGGGCTGCATATTGATCGATGGCGGAGCAGGCAAGGCCTCAAAGAGGTACCACAATGCAAAACCAGCTATTAAACATGATACGTGCAAAGCGAAACCGTGAGAAAACCATCCTAGCCTCCATGGTGGCAAATTCACCGTGGAACAGATGGAGGTGGCAGCTGCTGTGGTTTTACTTTAGGCGGTGAAAAAACTGGGTTGAAAGTGGCGGCAACCGCAAACGATGACAGCTGTGGTGTCAGTCGTGTTTTCGAGTTTCAAAAGGCGGAGCCAGGGCCTTGGACCGAAAATGACAAATCGATCTGCAAGTGCAATGCCTGTGTAACAAATCACTCCGCAAGATGCTTCCGCATCCTCCAGCATTTCTGCACGGTGCGATTTTTCGCACAGCCTATGCAGAATCTGACAATGCTACGGTTACCATGTTACCGCAATGTATGAGAAGGCATGCAGCTCATCCACCTGTTCAATCGACAAGACTCTGAGGATCTTTTGGTGATTCAGGTTCGCCCCACCTTTTTGAGGATCCTATTGCATGCAGCTATAAGTATTACCTTTGAAGGGAAGTGCTATCTGGGGCTGGCAGTGATTTGCCCGTACCTTTTTTAGATGCGAGTACAGAATCTCAGAAGCTCATGGCCGTCTGCAGCATGCACAGAATGTCACCCAGCAGGAAATCAAAAACGATCAAACAAATCTCACTGAAAACCTCCCGGATCCATCCAGGCCTTCTACATTCCGCTTCAGAGATATCATGACAGAAACATATAGAAACCAAGACCGTTGTGAGTTTGCGACGCGTTTTTTCGGTACGCCACCGTTTGAAGTTTCAGGCGGTCTAAGCCTGGTTTCAGACAATGCTCTTGTGGCTCATCTTCATAAGCTACGCAGAACAAATCAATTCGGACTAATTAAGCACTGTGCATTCATGTACATTCTACTCAGATTCTACTCTCCAACATGGTTTCCTCTAAGCAATCCATTTCCACCTGCTACTAGTCCTTACCTTCAGTTTGATCTGTTTGATGTCCAGAGTTCAATCTACCCAATAAGACTGGTTCTGTGGCAGGAGGGCACGCGCTTGCGAGATCTTCCTGGAGCTGTGCCACATCTGTCCGGAAACGAAGTTCTGTTTGCTGCAAGGCCAACTTCACCGCTTCAAAGAGAAAGGCATTCACCTGAATTCATTCTGAGTTCATTTTGAGTTCATTCTGAGTTCATTCTGAGTTCATTGATTCAACGGAGGTTGCCCTTGGCAGAATGATTTCAAACACGATGATCCCATGAACTTGTTTGCCTTACAAGGGGTCTGAGATCACACATTCATAGGGAAACGGTCGCATCATGTCGCACCCCCCAGTGGCACAGCAAGATGGACACGTCACATCAACACCCGTTCTTGTCCCAGTGACACAGCTGCCATTGCATTGGCACAAACCATTGGAGCACTGTGGGATCATAGTAGTTCATCAAGAGATGGCACCAATCATATGCATGTTTGGATTCAACTGCAGACCCTGCCTACCATGAAAACATATACTATATACTGACAAAAATCTATATCTCTATCTATCTATCTAAATATATATATATATATTTAAACACACACATATTTATATATATATATATAGATAAAATTAGATAAATATTATCGAAAGAAATTTAGAAGTCAAACGTCCGACAATATGGACAGATGAAAGGCAGCAGAGATGGGAAGAGTCAGAGAAGGGAAGAGAAGAAGAAAGGATATCAAAAAAGAGAAAGTCTCAGAAGAAAGAAGATTGGGGTGCGCGAAAAGGTAGGAAAGTCGCGAAACATCGTGTTTTACCAATGATTTGTGGCTCCGGAGGAAGTAGGCTCGCTAAAGCGGCGGGTGCGGAGCCAGCTGGCCAGATGAGCAATGAAAAATTGCACGCCGTTGTGGCGCGAAGCACATTTCGAAGTCAAAATGTACAAAGCACACCAGGTTCGGACCACTTTTGGAAGTTGAAATGTCGAAAAAGTGCACGCCGTTGTGGCGCGCAGCGCGTTTCGAAGTCAAAATGTACAAAAACACCAACTCCGGGCCACTTTTGGAAGTTGAGATGTGGAAAAAGTGCATGACGTTGTGGCGCGAAGCACATTTCGAAGTCAAATGTACAAAAAACACCAACTCCGGACCACTTTTGGAAGTTGAGATGTGGAAAAAGTGCACGCCTTTGTGGCGCGAAGTCAAAATGTTAAAAGCACAAGGGGTTCGGACCACTTTTGGACGTTCAGATTGGACGTTCAGATGTGGTTTCGCGTAGCATTTCCAAAAACGATAGCAGTGGTGGGACATTTGAAGAGGATCTGCAAAGATGCATTTTCCGTGCAGGCGCAGTACAAGAGACATGTTCATCAGAGATGTTAGGAGGTCAGGGCGCTGATTTCCTGAGAAGGATTGCATTTTGGAGCCTCAGATCTTCAGGTTTGCTGGGATGATTTTGCGTGACAGGTGCAGCACTTCGTATGACCTGGCATTACTTTTTCGTGGCAGGCGCAGTAATTTAGACAGGTGGAGTCGAAAATCGCAAAACGCATTGGTACGAGGCCGTCATTTTGAAGGGCGTCTAGCAGAATTGCTTCGTTTTTTGATGCTGTCAACTTAAATAAATGAGGAAGTCTCGCAGAATTGCTTCGTTCTTGATGTTGTCAAGTTCAGGAAGTCTCGCAGAATAGCTTCGTTTTCAAGCTTGCAGATAGATAGATAGACAGGCAGACAGACAGATAGATAGATAGACAAACAGAGAGATAGATAGATAAGATAAGATAAGATTAGATTAGACTAGGTTTGATTAGATTAGATTAGATTAACTAAGTTCGATTAGACTAGATTAGATTAGATAGATGGATAGATAGTAAGACAGATGAGAGAGAGACAGATAGATAGGTAGATAGATAGATAGATGGATAGATAAACAGATGGATAGATAGATAGATAGATAGATAGATAGATAGATAGATAGATAGATAGATAACACTACACTGTACCACGCTACAGTACGCAACACTACAGTACACTACACTAATTACACCACGCCACAGCTACAACTGCAACTGCCACTGATTACACTACATTACAACTACCACTTAACAACTCCACTACACTACAGCTACAACTACAACTGCGCTACTCCACACTGCATCCAGCAGTTGTGGTAGGGAGACCACTGCAACCATTGCAACCATTCCAAAAAACACAACTCCAACCACCTGTCGGTCCATCAGTGGATTCGCTCTGCCATCCGTGATTCACAACAACCAACCGCTCCTATAAGTTTCCTATTTTTGAAACTTCCGCCACCGCCTTGTGCGGTACTACTGATATATAAATATGTGGTATACATACATATATATAAATAGAATGAAATTGATTGATTGATTGATTGATTGATCGATCGATCGATTGATTGATTGAATGAATGAATGAATGAATGTAGCTGAACTTTTCCAAGGCACAGCTTGGAAGCCTCCAGGATGTTTGGAAACTGCTTCGTTGATCATCACTTTGTCCTCGGGGCAACTCGCCTGCGCATCTTGCAGCCGAAGCGTGGCGAGCTTTTTGCTGATCTTCAGTGCCAGATCCATGCTGCTCTCGCCGTAGTTCATGACACCAGATGAAGTTCCAAGCAAAAGCTGAAAAGCTGACTGATGAGTCTCACGAGTCTGACGAGTCTCACAATTCTGCTCAACTTCTCGGCTGAGGAGCTCAGTTTGAAAAAGTTCAAAGAGGCACCAGGACCTGGTCAAAGGTAAAACTTCCTCATCCAACACAAAGAGAGTACCTTGGCATCCGCCCCGCAAAGCCAAGTAGAAAGACGAATCTTCCACGTTGCCATGTCCAAGCTCTTCACTCACTTTCCACTGGTTGTTCGAAAACGTACAAATCCAGTAGGAAGTCATCTGGACGGGCACATGCCCTTTCAAACAACGGATGAAATGTTCAAATGGCATGCCCCAAAAGTGAGAAACAAACCATTGCACCGAAGAGGGGCCAACAAGCTCGGCATACGAAAGCGCCACCTGCATGGTTAAAGGCTTGACCAGGTTGCTGCAAAGGTAGTACATGTTCCTGAAGCCAATGTGGTGGCTGAAGAAGCTGTACAAGTCCTCTAGCTGCTGCAGACAAATGGCACGCCCCGGGCCCTTTGGACACTGTCTGGTTTCAAATTTTGATTGTGCTGCAAAACGGCAGAGGTCTCGTTCAAGTGGACGTTTTCCGGGACGAAACCACCAATGAACTGCAACAGCTAACAGAGCACCAATCAGAAGCATCAAAACTTCCAACAAAGAGATTTGAAAGGAAAGTAGGGCACCAAGCAAAAGAAAGTAAGCTGCTGTAGCCAGGATGAGCAATGCAAAGCACACCACAAAGGGCATCCCTAGAATTCCCCTTCTCAAGATATGATGGAGTTGCTGGACATGACAGGTACCTCGGGAAGCATCGGCTTGCTCCGTCAAGGCTGAACCACTCGTGTCACAAACACGTAGTTGGCGGTCGTTTTGAGCCTTCACTATGTATGTCTTGGAGTCAAGCAGTGGATGTGATGTGTCAAGGAACGTGACTTTCACCGGTTTCAATAGCCAATGACGTCCAGAAGTGGTCAAGGTCAGTGCACCTTCCTTCAACTGCACATCCGCTACACGCATGGGACGATTTGCTAAGAATGGTACAACAGCAAATAGCAGGAAGGACAGCAACAGTAAGGCAGCACATGCTGGCAAATTCAGGAAAGATGCCTCGCAACTCGTTCTCTCACCATTGACCTCTGTACGCCACCACTTGCTTTCACAAGGCACACATTGTTTGCTCCCTGAAGAAGGTGCATACGCGTTCCCGGTGCAAAGGTTGCAGTAGGTTTGCAGCCCATAACTTGACAGAAAGGACCCTGGCATACAAGGCTCACAACGCCAAAGGGAACTTTGCACATACTTGTGACCTGGCAAACAAAGGCCCATTTCGCAGTTCTCTCCTGAAAAGGGAGGCTCACACACACAAGTACCATCACCATGAAAGTGGGAAATGTTTGTAGGGACTGGCATTGACGGGTCAATTGGTTGAGACTTGCTCTGCCATCTCTGTGCCCTGACATGGAGGTCGTCGTTGCATATGCCCCTGCCAGAGCAGGGCACTGAAGCTTCACCCAGCCCCGGGCATGCAGAACACTTTCGAATCCGCAATTCTGATGGGATCGACACATTCACGCGCTCCAGATCAAAGTACCCTGGGCTGCAGGCGGAACAGTCTGCCAAAGTATGACCAGGAAAGTACAAGCAGGTCCCAACAGAGTGGCTACAGAATCCTTGGCTGCTGCAGCTTTCTGCCAATCGACAATAGTCATATTCAAAATGGCGAACAGGGCCGGGATCCCTGCTGCTCTCTGCAGTGAGCAAGTCTAAGTCGCCGTCCGAGTCCCAATCAACAAACACAAAGGAACTTAACCCTGTGTCGGGACCCAACACGTTGGGAAGAATCAGTTCAGTCTCCACCAATCGCAAATCCTCTTGAGCATGGAAATACCGCCATTTGTCGAGGTCTCTCATGAGCAAATCGGTCCTTCCATCTGCATCAAAATCGATGGCTTGCAACAAAACGCTGCCAAGGCCATAGCCAAGATCACCCAGGTCAGGTAGTGGTGCTGGACGCTTTGCCAAGCGGCCATCCGGTAGTTGTTGAAAAAACTCCCAGTGCAACCTGGGTTCGAAAATTGCCTCGCTGCATGCCAGAAGTATGTCCCATCTGCCGTCCCCATCCCAGTCAGCAACGGCAGCAGCGTAACAGACTCCCCGCTTGACCTTCAATCCTTCCAATACCAACTTCTCCGCCAAGCTCCCGTTGGCTTGGCGTTCAAAGTACCATACTTCGCTGCTCGCCGGAACCAACAAATCCTGTCGGCCATCATAATTCCAATCAATTGCAGCTGGCCGCACTGTGGAATGAGACTCCACCTGTAAGACCTCTTCAGCCTGAAGGAGACTGCCATCTGCACCGCGAAGAAAAACCTCGACCTTACCATATTTGGAGCCGAGGAGAAAGTCTAGATCGCCATCCCCATCCCAATCAGCAACTTGCGGGTGTGCCATTCGTCTGGTGATTTGAAACATGGAGAAATCCTTGCTTCGCTCGATGTATCGATTTGTAGACTTCCAAGAAAGCAACTGGATCTTTCCTGTTTTCAGAGCAAGCAGAATCTCCATCCTTCCATCTCCATCCCAGTCACCCGCTGCTATACCGGCGCGAGAGAAATCCCAGCTTTCACTGTCTGCATCAACTCCATTCAACGGGTTGGCAGCAAAACTCCAATCCTCAAAATGCCCATCGGCAGTCCTGTGCAAATAAGCAAATCTTGGAGGTCTACAAAGATAGGAACATGATTTCGTCAACATCACATCCAAGGCCCCATCACCATCGAAGTCAGCCACGGCGATGCCAACAATGGAAAAATGTGTCCAAGGAGCCAATAGGTCACGGAGCCTCATCACTGTGGATGGATTTTTGCGCTTGAAAAGAACGAGCCAGCCTTCCGCACCAGTGGTCAAAATGTCTACATCACCATCTGCATCAAAATCAACGGCTGCAAACCGCAAACCGCCCATATTTGCAAGCCGCAAGTCTTCGCCAAGTTCGTTGACCAGCGAGATAGCAGATCTGTTGTGGAGATTACCGTCCATGTCAAAATCCATCAGCCATAGACCGGCATTGTCTTGCAATATCAAATCGAGGTCACCATCGGAATCCCAATCAACAACTGCGAAGCATGGTGCCCCGTAATCATTTCTCACTGAAAAATTAACGTGTCTGAAAACATTATTTGCCCCGAACTGTTCGACAAGCTGTCCATCTACTTGGCGAAAATATCTAATCCAAGATTTTTTCTGAACATTCCATGAGCCATCCCCATCTGTCACCATCAGCAGCAGTTCCATCTTGCCATCTCCATCCACATCGACAAGCTGTGGCCAAGCAGGCTCTAGGTAACCTAAGGACAGCAATTCTTTTTCGTGTCTTTCTTGTAGGTTGCCCTCGCAACTGCCGGTACCTTTCGGCCGGCACCATGCTGCTCCACACCTTGGCTCCGTCGGTGTGAAGTAGCGCCATCCCAAACACATGAATTATAGCGGTCCCCAAATAGAATAGATGCTTTTATGGGAAAATCATCTAGAATCGTGGATGAGTATACATATTGAAATACCATTGAAATCCATTTAGCCATGTATGCGGGGAACCTTATACTAATGCTACAAATTTATTTTTGTTAAACCATGTTAAACCTCTAGCCTTCTGATGGATTCAACGCTCATGCTGGAACACATCACAGCTTGTCAAGGAAGGAATGAAGATGCCTTTAACTTTAGCTTACATCTGAGCAAGGCGCAAGTGGACAGAGAGCAGCAGTATCGCGATGGCCATTGGCATGCTCGGCATCTTGAAGATGCGACAAACGCCAAAAGGAAATTCAAAGATGTCTTGGGACACAAGGTGTTCTGCTATTGAATCCCCCTTCCAGCATCCTATAGATCCTATGGTTGATGATTCGACCATATTCCACCAGTAAAACGGATCTTGGTTTCATGATCGTCATGAACAAGTGCAAGCCTTGACTATGATCAAGACCTTTTGCTCTGCTGGACCTCGCATGAAATCTCCACACACTATTCAAGGAGCCTCCAGCTATCTCGTCGTGAAAAGTCACACCATCCAAACTGACTGTGTCAGCTCCACAAGAAACGCAGATTTGCGTCTACTTTTCCAGGTGTTTCCAGTCTTCCCAAACAGCGAAGACGTACACCTTTGCTTCATTTACCCTTCAAAACAGACACAAGTCTACTGTCAACGAAAGGAAGCTGAAAATGCAAATGCAAGATGCCTATCCATCGTCTGTTGGGAAAAGTATCAGCTGAAGTTGACGACAGTTAAAGTGAGGTTTTGGTAGTCAGTTCAAACCTCACAACATCTCACACTAGCGAGGCCTCGGTTTCCTTTTTCCACAGGCTTTGCTGCGGGGATGATGCGCTTTGGCTCATTTTCAATGTCGAAAGATGTCGAAAGCTAAAATTGAGGTAACTTTAACTTTTTGGGGTTTGATCCACCATTGGGCAATGGGCCTTGATGGGGAATGATCGAAATTTATCAAACATCTTCTCCACGTCAGTTGCGGGAATTGGTTTTCACCCCTGGCAACAACTCGCTGAGGTGCGCGGCAATGGCTTCCTGTCGCAGCAGCACAGAATTTTGGATAACCATCTGTGGCAGTAAACAAAGAGATAATAGAGATACTTGTAGTCATTGTAGTGCTCAATGACCGTTGACAAAAACTGAAAAGCATAACACATTTAGTTTCCTTTCAAAATTTTGGGTCATGATCTTAGTTGGACGAGGCGCCTTGATACTTTGCAAATCCATTCCGCTCGTGCTCTGCACACGTACACCCAACGCAGCCATGCCAGCTACAACTGCCTGAACACCTCCCATGAAGTCGACATCGGCTGCCGAGGAGGGCGTCAAGGCATCCATAGAAACAAAGAGAAATGCAAAGAGAAGCAACAAAAACATGAGCGCCTTCAAAATGTGGCTGGCGATCTGTTCCGGCAGCACAGAAAGGGAATGGAGGATGATGTTGGGCACCAATTGTCGCATCAATGTATAGAAACCTTGAATAAACTCCGCCTTCGAGATGCTGCCATTGCCGGAGAGGTCAACCATATTGAAAAGGACCCGCAGCTGACTGTCATTCACAGCGAAGCGCATGTCCTTCAAGATCATATCTGCGAACGTATCGTAGCCAATGCCTCATTTGGTCACAACACCGAAGGATGGTGGGGACTTCAAACTAGAGTGACGGGTCCGATTTTGGTTCTACTGGCATCCTGCCTTTGATATTTAGGAGACAATCTTCACTCCATATACTATTTGCAGCTAGATGCAAGACCCCTCTATCACTGATCAGCCTTTCTTACCCGCATCTTCGCGTATGCAAAGTCAAATTTAAATTGTGACAAAGTGCCTGTTCTCTGCAGCGACATCATAAGCTTGATCACGCCACTGGGTGGCAAGATGCCATTTTCCTGCTGCATCAATGGGTTTTGCAAAGCACTTGTTGGATTCTTGTTGGGCTTCAAGGGAAGACATGGGACACAGTTTTATCACTGGATGCCTAGGGATCATGTCTTCCACTCTAAAGTCATCTCACCAGTTTGCAATCTTTGGGCCACATATCTGTCAATCATTCAATATCTTGGTGGGGCCGTTTGTGTTTGGTCAAATGAATACCTCCCAACCCAACGGCTCACTACATACAAGAACGACCAAAATCTGTGGTCACCAGTCTGCTAGCGTGAATTTTGACCTCTCCTTCTTATCGATCGCTGCAAAACTCTTTGAGACTTCGGCGAAACTGGTCTCAATTTCATCATTCTGAAGAACGCCGTAGGCAGCCTCCAACCTGAGCAGTGCTGCTGGAGCGAGCGCCATCTTAGGTGGAAAAATGATCAATCATTGGGTTTAGGAAATGATGTCGGATGGAAAAATGTGAGCTTCTTTGAAAAACCAAGAAACCACATGCCTCCAGAAAGATACTTTTCAACCGCTTCGCCCAATTCATTGAGACTCACCAAGTCTTCACAAACAAACTCCTCTGCCTCCCCAATCTTAATCTTGATATCATCAACCTGCCCGAACAAACTTGCAATCACAGCATTGGGTAAAGTGATTCCCGCATTCTTTAGCAGCTTCTCAAAACCCGACAGTGAGATGGGTCGGTACTGCGTCTGTATCTTCTCGATGGTTCGCATCAAATTGGGCGCTTCAACAAACTTCGGCACACCTTTCCAAGCACTGCATCCTTCTGCGCCACTGGTGCCAGTGGTGCCACTGAAGATCTTCCGCGAAGCAGCTTCGGGCATGTCCAGATCAAAGGTTTCAAGGATTTCATCGAAACCCTCCCAAGGGATTCCCCGAAGACGCGCCAAATTTTTTTCATCGATATACCTCCAAACCTCAGCTGGACAGCCTTGCATTCCGGCCATGGCTTTGTATCTCCACTCTGGATATCCCGGCACAGGCTCTGAGTCCTCGTCGGTGGTCAAGCGTTCTGTATCAAGCATCAAATCATTGATAAAACCCGGCACATCAGACTTCTGCAAGAAGGAAGCCTCACCTGTCAGTTGCTATGTAATGCCCGGACACCAAACCTTCACCACACTCCCAACATTTGCAAAATCAATCTGTAAAAGTTGCTTATTTTTCCCCTCCTGTCAAGGGAAGGCTGTTAGATTTTATGTCAGCCTGCCCGCCTCCTTCCTCCACCATCCTCCTCACCGGACCTCAACTGCAAGCTTGAGATCACAGTGTTCCCCGCTGCCCGCTGGGCCGGAACAGCAACCGGACACCGCAGGCTCCGGACCAGAGTGCTCCCCACCACACCTACACCGCAAGCTCAGGATCAGAGTGTTCCCCGCCGGACCTACACCGCAAGCTCCGGATCTAAGTTTTCCCCGCCGGACCTCCACGCGAGCTCCGGATCAGAGTGTTCCCCACCGGACCTAAACCGCAAGCTCAGGATCAGAGTGTTCCCCGCCGGGCCGACCTCCCCCGCGAGCTCCGGATCAGAGTGTTCCCCACCGGACATCCCCCGCAAGCTCCTGATTGTTCCCCACCGGACATCCACCGCAAGCTCCGGATCAGAGTGTTCCCCACCGGGCCTACACCGCAAGCTCAAGATCAGAGTGTTCCCCGCCGGACCTACACGTAAGTGTTCCCCGCCGGACCTCCACCGCAAGCTCAGGATCAGAGTGTTCCCCGCCAAACCTCCACCGCGAGCTCCGGATCAGAGTGTTCCCCACCGGGCCTACACCGCAAGCTCAAGATCAGAGTGTTCCCCGCCGGACCTACACGTAAGTGTTCCCTGCCGGACCTCCACCGCCAGGTCCGGATGAGAGTGTTCCCGACCAGACATCCACCGCAAGCTCAGGATCAGAGTGTTCCCCGCCAAACCTCCACCGGGAGCTCCGGATCAGAGTGTTCCCCACCGGGCCTACACCGCAAGCTCAAGATCAGAGTGTTCCCCGCCGGACCTACACGATCAAGTGTTCCCCGCCGGACCTCCACCGCAAGCTGCAAGCTCAGCATCAGAGAGTTCCCCGCCGGACCTACGCCGCAAGCTCCGGATCAAAGTGTTCCCCGCCAAACCTCCGGTGCGGATCAAAGTGTTCCCCGCCGGACCTCAACCATAAAGAGCCTCCGAAGATATACCAGATAGAATGTCAGAAGATATGCCACATACAAATGCCAGAAATAATGTCATAAGATATGGCAGGCATATATCAGGTTGCTTTCTTGCTGATGTTGCTTGGCAGCTGCGTTTCAACCCAAGATCAAGACTTTGCTTCAGATAAAACAATGCTGTGAATCTTGCAATGGGACTTGTAGCTGAGGGTTTGTACTAGAGCACAGACTGCTTTGACATGCCATGGTGGGAATCACTCGAAGTAAAGTAATTAGGATATTTTGGCAAATGTTTTCGATATTAGTTTTGCATGTTTTTGCTTTGCTGCCTTCTTGAGGATCCTCCTCCTCATCTGTAGCTTCTCGCCAATATTTTAAAACCCATGAGGGCCAGCTTGGAGGATTCCACTCATCGTCGACTCTGGTTTCTTCATCATCCTCGGTTCCGAGGTTTTCGTTTCCCAATTCTCCACAGACCGCAATCTCACGTAGCAAGGCCACGGTGGCAGCTTTCCAAAGGCCACCATCTGTCATCCACATGAGAACGTCAGGAATGTCCTGATAATCCATGAAACCACAGCCTTTCGACGTGTGTTTGAATCCATTGACCAAATCCTCCTTGTCGATTTCTGCATCCAAGAAACCACAATACTTCTTCAAGAATGGGACCAATTCGGACCACCACACCCTTCCCTTGATGAGTTGCTCGAAGACTGCCACAAGCTTATATACTGGGATGGTACTAGTGGTTTTCAGCTGGGGTAGTGCCTGTTTCACTTGTTCCTTCACAAAAGCAACTATGTGCTTGTGTTCGTAAACACCTGGAGTCTCGGAGTACAGCAATCCTGAGGCCCAACTATCTTCAGGATTTTTCAGCAGCTCTGCGATGAGGTCATTCAACTTCATTGTCTTAGCCGGATCTCGGTACATAGTGTCCTCAACGTGCTGCGCGACCTTTGCCAAGACCCTTTCGGCCACGCTGTCCTTTCGGTTGCCATCAAATACTACCATTGCACAGCTGCAAATGTACTTGGGGACAGAGTCATCAAAAAACTTTGTCACCTTTTCCACAATGGGAGTCCATTGGAAGAACGGATCTGCCCACTTCACGATCATTCCAGCCAACTGATCAAAGCTGTCGCGACAGATAGCTTTGTACATCAGATATGCTTTTGGCAAAGGGCTCCTCTCCGGTGCTTTGGCCCCACCTTTGGCCCCATCTCGTGCTCCCAGTGCTTCCAGTGCTCCCACCTCTGCCGAGGTGATGGCCCCGAAGTTGAGAAGTTGCAGCCTCATGTTGTGCTCTCGGAGCATAACGTCAGTCAAAGCATCAGTATCCTCAAAGATGCGCCATTCCAATGAGCTATCCAAGCCTGCAAACTGAAAGGGGCACACTTGGAGAAGTAAAATAAGAGACCGTGGGCAGAAGTTGAAGCTCCGTCAAACTATGGAAACACACAAACTACTTCTGATCCTTGTGCAACACCAGCCGGCAAATTGTTGGTGGGGCTTGCGCCATGACATTTACAATGGCACATTGTTTCCGGAATCAGAGGCATCCCAAAACCACAAACACAACGGCGTTAGCATATTATGAGATTGCTTGCAAAATAAGAAGCCTTCACTACTCATGCTCAAAGTGCAAATCATGGCGCAAAAACCCTCTCCAAAGTTAGCAAGTGCAGCAGAGCAGCTTGTCTTTCCAAGGTAATGTTTGTATAGCTCAGAAAGCTGTTGCAACTGTTCGCCAGTCATTTCGCTCGACAGCTCGCTGCTAACCTCCTCCACGGCACCTTTGCCAAGGGACGAACTGGAGATATGATCCTCACAAGACCACTGCGGGCGCACGACTTGGAATATATTTCCCTCACTGATTCTTACATAACCTTCGTCTCAGTGTCTGTGAACGGCATGTTTTTCCCCAAACGGGTTTGTCGGAAAACGGTGTAATGGTGGATTTAAGGTACGCAAGCAACAACAAACAAACGGACGGACTGTAGCTTTTTTTGCCCCTCTCCTGAACCTCCTTAATTGTTTCTTCGTCTGGCTTCACACAGCGAAACAGCAGATCTTTGGATTGCTTGATCGGCTTCCCTTCGGTATCTAGACCTGGCCAAGCACTCAAAGGGGCACATGCACGTTCCTCATGGGGATGCATTTCTGCACAGGCCACTGCATCAGAATATTGAACCATCTGTTCAATCTGAATGTAGTCAATGAGTACGATCCAAAACAAGAATCATCATGCATATGGTGTTATATCATCAAACTGAATGTAGGATCAACAAGACGATGACAATCAGACAACTTTCCACTACTCTGCATTCCTTTGCCGTCATTCATGCTGGCCTTTAAAGCGATTGTCTGCTTTCTTGAGGGCGAAGTCAAGATTACTTTCAGTATATGAAGACACGTTGCCCTCTTGCTTGATGCGTGTAATCATTTTCTGTAGCATCACATCGAAGACTGCGTCAACTTGGAACTCAATCACCTTCAGGGACGAAGCACTGAGAAGTGATCAGTCGAAGCACGTTTGATTGAATTAACTCCAAAATTAGCTCCAAAAGCACCAGGTGCGGGATACCGAAGCAACTTTTCACAAATTCATCTCAGGCTCGTCTAAGTTCTCATATTCTACCAGTAGTACCGCGCAAGGCGGTGGCGGAAGTTTCAAAAATAGGAAACCTATAGGAGAGGTTGGTTGTTGTGAATCACGGATGGCAGTGTTCTATGGAGTGGTTGCAATGGTTGCAGTGGTCACCTCACCGCAACTGCTGGATGTAGTGTGGTGTAGTGCAGTTGTAGTTTTAAGTTGTAGTTGCAATGTAGTGTAGCGTAGTGGAGTTGTAGTTTTAAGTTGTAGTTGTAATGTAGTCTAATTAGTGTAGTGTAGTTGCAGTTGCAGTTGTAGTCGTGGTGTGGTGTAATTAGTGTAGTGTACTGTAGTGTACTGTAATGTTGTGTACTGTATCGTGGCATGGTGTAGTGCAGTGTCGTGTAGTGCAATGTAGTGGTAGTTGCAGTTGTAGTGTACTGTAATGTAATTAGTGTAGTGTAGTGTTGGGTAATGTAGTGTGTTGTAGTTGTAGGTGTATTTGTAGCTGTAATGTACTGCAGTAGTGTATTGTAGTGTAATGTGGTGTAGCTGTACTTGTAGTTGTAGCTGTGGTGGTGGTGGTAGTAGTGGTAGTGGTAGTGGTAGTGGTAGTGGTAGTGGTAGTGGTAGTGGTAGTGGTAGTGGTAGTGGTAGTGGTAGTGGTAGTGGTAGTGGTAGTGGTAGTGGTGGTGGTAGTGGTGGTGGTGGTGGTGGTAGTAGTAGTAGTAGTCCTCGTCGTCGTCGTCGTCGTAGAAGTAGTAGTGGTAGTGGTAGTGGTAGTGGTATGGTAATACTGGTAGTAGTGGTGGTAGTAGTAGTAGTAGTGGTAGTGGTAGTGGTAGTAGTAGTGGTGGTAGTAGTAGTAGTCGTCGTAGTAGTAGTAGTTGGTGGATGGTTTTGGTTTAAAGCACTTGCAAGTAACATGTAACCTAGTTGTAATGTAGTTACAACCCTAGTGTATCTAAGCTAAATAAGCTAAGTTTTTATCTTATTTTACGGGAGTTGTAAGTATTTACCAAAGATAAACTAGATAGTATGTTTTTTAAAGTTTTTTGAGTGAACAAAAAACCAACTTAGATAACTTATAAGTAACTTAGGAAACTTAACTTTTTTGATCTTAAAAGCTATTATTTTTTGCTTTGGAATAAAAACATATAAAAACAGTTGGAAACGAATTAAAACCATATTTGTTATTTTTGATATTTTTGTCGGAAGGCGGCTCTATGAGAAGCCTATCGGGAAAAGTTTTGTGATGCTGAGTCTTTTTGTTGATATGTTATCCTCTTCTCGTTTGGACAACAGGATGGGTACGAAGTAAAAAGCGTTTGGGCTCTTGGAAAGATCATGAGGCCACAGCCCCTGTGAGGTGTGTATAAAGCCTTTTCAATAGAATTGGAGTTTATGGCGGTCCATTGGACCGCCTGTACATCAAGGGTATTTATACATTTTTGGGGCTACATGAAGAAACACAAAGCAGCTGCACATGTTTTCCAACATGTTGGCGGTCCATTGGACCGCCCTTAGAGACGGAATGATGTTTTAGTGGAAGTGGAAATGTTTTAAATGGATGATTATATTTGTTTCATGTTCAGTTTTGGTTCAGCATATCATATTTTTCAAACAAACACAAAATACAAAACACATTTTTACACATTTTTACACATGTGTAAGTGGTTTTTTTGGGTTTACACATGTGTAAGTGTTTTTGTGGGGGTTTACACATGTGTAAGTGGATTTTTTGGTTTACACATGTGTAAGTGGTTTTTTTTTGACTTACACATTCTTACACATCCTTACACATCCATACACGTCCATACGCATTCAGGTATATTCTAGTCTTTTTGGCTCATGCTTTCGTACAATGAATCATATGATATGCTTAATTTAAATCCTTCAAAATGACTGCGGTCCAATGGACTGCATATCTTCTTGCATTTCTTGCAATGAACTTACGCTTGATAAGCATGTCTATTGATTCAAAAGTGCGGCCCACTGGATCGCATACCTATATAATTCTCTGGTCAATCAAAAACATATTGTTGCGATTTATGTTTCATCAAGGGAAGTAGCGGCTACCGACAACTCCTACGCCTTTGGTCACCCGTGGATGTTCTATCCTGCGGCCCTTTGGGCAGCAACTCTCTCATTTTATTTTTTCCAAATTAAAATTGTCCAACCCAAAGTTTAAAAACATCATCAAATTTTCAAGTGCAGCAAAGAAATTCGAAGAAACTTACGAAACAAAGGTTTCTTCAACACAAAAAATAAAAATGCAAAACGCAATGATGAAGAAAAAACTGCTAAAATACCTTTCTTTTCATGTTCAAAATAACTTAAAATAACTTGAAAAACTTGCAAGTTACTTATATTTAACCTATGTTACTTAGAGCTACAATTAAAAAGTTAAGTTTCCTAAGTTAACTTGTAAGTTGTGTAAGTAGGTCAAGTGCCATGAGTAATTTACATGTATTCTATCTCAAAACCATCCACCAAGTAGTAGTAGTAGTAGTAGTAGTAGGAGGAGGAGGAGGAGTAGTAGTAGGAGGAGGAGGAGTAGTAGTAGTGTAGTGTAGTGGTACTTGTAGTTGCAGTTGTCTCTCTATCTATCTGTCTAGCTGCAAGCTTGAAAACGAAGCTATTCTGCGAGACTTCCTCAGTTTTTGAACTCGACAGCATAAAAAACGCAGCAATTCAGCAAGACTTCCTCAATTTTTGAACTTGACAACTTCAAAATCGAAACAATTCTGCGAGGCCTCCTCAATTTTCGAAGTTGACAACATCAAAAACGAAGCAATTCTGCGAGACTTCAGGCTTCCTTCAAAAATTGGCAATTTTCCACTTGGGTTGGTTCACCAAAAAAGGCCCCCACAAGTCTCAAGAATACACTGTTTTCCCCTCATTTTACCCAAGTTTTGATGACTTGTGGGGGCCTTTTTTGGGGTGCCAACCCAAGTGGAAAATTAGCATCAAAAATCCAAAATTGAGTGCAGAGCTGACGGCCTCGTACCAACGCGTTTTGCGATTTTTCCACTTCACTTGTCTAGAGTACTGCGCCTGTCACGAAAAAGTGATGCCAGGTCATACGAAGTGCTGCACCTGTCACGCAAAATCATCTCGGCAAACCTGAAGATCTGATGCTCCAACGTGCAATCCCTCTCAGGAAATCAGCGCCCGGACCTCCTAACAGCTCTGATGAACATGTCTTTTGCATTCCGCCTGCCACGGAAAATGCATCTTTGCAGACCCTCTTCAAATGTCCCACGCCTGGCATGCCACAAGACCCTCACATTTTGCTCACTTTTGACAAGGTGCACAATCCCTTGCGCCTGCCAGGCGAAACCACATCTGAATGTCAAAAAGTGGTCCAAGCATGTGGTGTTTTTCACATTTTGACTTCGAAATCTGCTTCGTGCCACAACGGCGTGCACTTTTTCGACATCTCAACTTCCAAAAGTGGTCCGGACCTGGTGTGCTTTGTTCATTTTGACTTCGAAATGTGCTTCGCGCCACAACGGCGTGCACTTTTTCGACATCTCAACTTCCAAAAGTGGTCCGGACCTGGTGTGCTTTGTTCATTTTGACTTCGAAATGTGCTTCGCGCCGCAACAGCGTGCACAATTTCGACATCTCAACTTCCAAAAGTGGCCCGGACCTGGTGTGCTTTGTTCATTTTGACTTCGAAATGTGCTTCGCGCCGCAACAGCCTGCACTTTTTCGACATCTCAACTTCCAAAAGCGGTCCGGACGTGGTGTGCTTTGTTCATTTTGACTTCGAAATGTGCTTCGCGCCACAACGGCGTGCACTTTTTCGACTCAACTTCCAAAAGTGGTCCGAACCTGGTGTTTGTTGTGCATTTTGACTTCGAAATGTGCTTCGCGCCGCGACAGCGTGCACTTTTTCGACATCTCAACTTCCAAAAGCGGTCCGGACCTGGTGTGCTTTGTTCATTTTGACTTCGAAATGTGCTTCGCGCCACAACGGCGTGCACTTTTTCGACATCTCAACTTCCAAAAGTGGTCCGAACCTGGTGTTTGTTGTGCATTTTGACTTCGAAATGTGCTTCGCGCCACAACGGCGTGCAATTTTTCACCTCTCATCTGCCCAGCGGGCTCCGCACCCGCTGCTTTAGGGAGCCTACTTTTCGACCCTCCGGAGCCACAAATCATTGGAAAAACGCAGTGCTTCGCGACCTTCCTACCTTTTCGCGCAGCTGGATCTTCTTTCTTCTGAGACTTTCTCTTTTTTGATCTTCTTTCTTCTTCTCTTCTCTTCACCGGCTCTTCCCATCTCTGCTTTTCATCTGTCCATATTGTCGAAAGTTTGACTTCTAAACTTCCTTCGATCATGGTTTTTCACATGGTGGCAAAAAATGAGAATTCCAGCACCTTGAGCAAGCCCCGTGTCAGATTCGAGAACTGCATCCACATAGTCGTAACAACTGCACCACAGGAGCCAAGGACCAGCAATGGCTTTAGAGCAGAAGATGGGTGCAACAATGCTCCAATGAGGAAGAACAACAACATGACAAGCAAACAGAATGCGGAGACTGCGAAGGTGAATGTGGATATCAGCCCCAAAGCATGATCGGCAAGATGTGGGACCACTCCCGGGGTATCCTGCATGACATTCGCCACAAAAATGCAAAGCAAGGAGATGAACATGTGGCATCCGAAGAAACCAATGGCAACAGTGGGTAGGTGTCCAATTTCATCTGCATGAGCCTCCATCCCAGACACTTGTAACACATCAAATGCAGCTGCTTCGGTCTGATAGCTTTGCTGGAACTGTTCAAAAGCCACTCCCAAACAGGAGAACCCGAAAAAGCAAAGAAGCTGATACACCGACATGAGAACGTGAAAGGCAAAGTCGATGATGGGGTCAAAATGCGAGAACTCAACCAGCTCTTGTAGATGTAAACTCGCATCAAACCCGGCAGAGACCATGTGATTCTCACACCAGTGCCCATTCCCCTCAAGTAGCCGGAGACCTTCCAGGAGAACTACCCGGTAAGAACGAAGTCTATATCGATCATCACTGGCTCCAACAATCGTATGTGAAATGCTGGCAAGCAGTAAACCTCCAGAGCATTTAATCAAATCTTCAGGGGCGGATTCAAAAGAGAATGGCCTTCGAAGTCCTGAGCAGCCACGGACATTCACTGTCTTGACTTGGACCCCTTGGGCTTTTAAAGTAGAGGCACTTGTGCCCTCCATATGCATGTTGTTCATGCGGCAAAATGCTCCATAGGCATGTTCCAAATGCCTCAAGGTAAGAGTCTGCACAACAAAGAACCAGTTTGAAGTGCAGAGCGCATTTCTTGACACTTCAGCATTCTGCCAGGATGCTTCCAAGGGCAAGTTCTCTCCATGCGTCACCATGATGATGCGGCAGCAAACATATGCAGCATCCGACAGATCAGCATCCACGACCCAAGGGAAGGTTTGTGATGAGAATCGAACATCGTCGTTCATGAGCTGCCAAGTCATTTTTCCAACTTGCTCTAAATACAAATCGACATGTACTGCAGTGGAGTCTGCCTGGTTGATAATGGAAAAGGGTAGGCAACGGTCCTTTTACAGTGGAAAGAAAAATCATACAGTGCTACAAATAAATCTACGAAAGACGCGCCCAAAAGACTGTCAGCCAAGCCGCGTCATCCCAAACCACAAATCGATCCATGCCCTGCTGATAAACATCTCCAGGAACATCGTCCTGAAACCAAACTTTGCTGGACCGATTCGGATCTAATGGTGTTTTGCCCAAAGCGTCCAGTTGCTCACTCTTGAAGTCAGGTCTCAGGCACAATGCTCCCAAAATCTCGCCACCCGCATCCACCAGATCCGCCTCGCAACTACTAAACACTAAGAATTTCCATCTTCACAATCTGATGTCAATATTCAACGCTTGCCTAGACCTGGAAACACCCCACCGAGCCAAAGAGAACCAAGTTGTTTGGATGCGAGACGGTCAACTTTTTTGTTCTTGTTTATTCAAGTTTATTCATCATGTCACAAGGAACAGAAGAAAGTCACAATTCTCCGGACCTGGAATGTAAACTCACAACCGCCACTGCCAGGTCTTGTTTGACAGGCATCCAGCAAGTCATTCCAATCAGCAACGCCTGTGGCTATGACCTGCTCGTTTCGAGCCACCATATGGATGAACAGGGTCGCACCGCTGCGCATGCTGTCGCGGAAGGGAGGTGTGAGCCTGAGAGAAGCCTCAATGTCCACACCAAAGAAATCATCTCCCGTCCAACCCTCGGCTCTCACCTTCCTGGAGAACCAGTCGGAAATGGCAATGGTGTTTGTTTTGGCAAAAGATTCCTCCTTCCTGCTCTCTGTGGCCTGTCGTGACGTCTCCAGTGAATTTCCAAAGAAGAATTCGATGCGGAAATCTTCTGCCACTCTCCCCTCCTCACAAATCACATGAAGTTTCTCCAAGACTAAGGTCAAAGCGGGTGGTGTGAACTGGCTGCAAGCGGTACGAAGAAATGTAGACATGCTGACTTTGTCCTGCCGTTTGGGCAACAAGGCTTCGAGGACTTTAAAGGGTAAGTAGGCTGTTGCCCAGAGAGGCTCAATTCTGACAGGGCTGGACCAGCAAGTATGGCCCACTTCTTGTGAGCTGGAGATGGTGGTCACGCTGATGGAGAAAATGTCTTTGGCGTAGCGAAGATCTGCCCGGTAAAGGCTCAAAAAGAAACTCACGGTGCTTGACGCAGAGGTTTCAACTTCGCCAGCGTTCACGCGCAAACGTATTTCGGATTGTGAGGACCTCAGCCTGATGACGTAGCTTGAAGCTCCGCCACCCTTCTCCTTGGACCACACCAAGTGAAACCCACGCTCTGGATAGTGTGAAAATTTCACATTGATATCGGTCTCTTCCACCAAGCCAACCTGCAATCTTTGAGATGCATGCGTCGCAGCATGCCTTTCTGAGAGTCGTTTGTACAAGAAAAGGAAAACAATATTTCTGGTAGTTGACACCACAATAAGAGACAAAGCGATTGCACAGCACCCATTCATCAGGATCGCTATCAGTATGCTCATGGGGTAGCCTTCCGGATTCCAGTCCAATGTAAAACCTGTCTTGGACTTCTGAAATACGAGTCCAGATCTGCACTTCGGACCCTTGGCCAGCAAGCTACGGCCCTTTTCCAAGTGCAAGCCTTCCACAAGAAGCCTGGTCACATCTGCGGTCTGTCTCCAGGAAGGGCAGGCTTCATCTAACTCATCCGCAATAACTAAAGATTTGCTTCCATTGAGGACATCATCAATATCCTTTTCTACCGACGGATCGCCCTCCAAAGTCAGCAAATAATGTTTCGTCACCGGAGCCAATACACCAAATGAAAGGCCCGCAAACCAAGATGCGTCAAAGTAGGTGAAAGCTGTGGTGCTGGAAAGGACCCAAGACTGATCCAATCCACCAATTCGAATCGCAATCAGCCAAGGCAGATTTTGCCGTGTCTGGATGAACTCTGACACTTCATCAAGAGCCTACCACATGTTGAGGGTCAAGCAGAATTGACGGAATGGCAAAGCACAAGTCATATCAAAACATCATATGATTTTAAAGGGCCGCTGATCAGTTGGCTTCTCTGAGCCGGCCGCTACCTTTCTTGTTAGCATGGCTTTCCAAACAAATGAAACATACAGCGCGATGGAAACAGAGAATCCTGTCTTTCATTTTTGACAATAATGCTTCTTCAAGCCTCCTTGGAACTTGCTGTCAGGCGAATGTTGGATTCGCCCACTTTCACCTGGCATGTCTCACAAGGCAAATCCACATGAATGATGGAGTCGCCAGATTTCTCAAAGATGATAATTTGCGCAGCCGAGCAGTTGAAAGTGCCTGCCGAGGGGCCGGGAAAAAATGAAACGACAACAGGAAAATGCGAGTTGAGGCTGGCATGGAACCGACACTTCAAACAAAACTCAGAGAGTGCAGACTAGATACCAGGCTCCAACCTGCGGCTAACAGTGGTAGGGCTGTGTGAAGTTGCAACAGCCGTGGCCCTCGCCGTCTCGCTGCACAAGTAAATTCTACCATCCTGCAACAAAGCAAACGAAACTCAAGTCAGCCATTGCAACCTTTTCTCAAGGCTACATTTACCACATCAAAAAAATACCACAAAACAAAGAAACAAACGCTAAATCATGAACAAAAAACAAGTGTGGCAGCTGCCCAGCTTAAATGACAGACTCATCACAGTCGCAAATCTTCCCGTTCTTTGCGTTAGGCCTTTTCCAACTATAAAGAACAACAACATCTCCGTCCTCCCTGATCTTTGGTGCCCGCAAGCGCCCGATTCCCGTCGCTCCCGTCGCTTTCAGCTGCACTGGAACGCTGCTATCGACGAAGACTGGGCTCGTTCCTCGAATCTTCCAGCGCGAGGCGGAGCTCTGACCGAAGTACAGCTGGACCAAACCTGGAGCCATTGGGCCGTGGGAACGCCCACAGGAAGGGGCTTTGGCATGTTGAAATATATTGAGGGTATAGATACGCATGCATGCACCCATACAACTCAGACATGGGCGATGCACAGCTAATCATCTTATGAAATCATCATAAAGTCATACTGATATCGTACTGATATCTTGAGGTATCCTAAACCATCAGCGGCTGTGTTTGTTGCCTCCCAGGTCCCCTGACCTTGCTCCCTGCTTTGAATGGTGATCTCATCCAAGGCTTTGGTGCCGGTGGCATTCACAACAGCAGCCGACTTGCCATAGATCGCGATGTGTCCATGCACAACTCCTGAGACTCAGTTAAATCACAGGAAATTTGAAAGCCTAACTTCCGAGTTACGGATTTTCAAAAATCTTTTCGCCACAGCCAAGAGATGCCAAGAGATCTCACAGCCAAGAGATCTCACAGCCAAGAGATCTCACAGCCAAGAGATCTCACAGACAAAAGATCTCACAGCCAAGAGATCTCACAGCCAAGAGATCTAACAGCCAAGAGATCTCACAGCCAAGGGATCTCACAGCCAAGAGATCTCACAGCCAAGGGATCTCACAGCCAAGAGATCTCACAGCTAAGAGATCTCACAGCCAAGAGATCTCACAGACAAAAGATCTCACAGCCAAGAGATCTCACAGCCAAGAGATCTAACAGCCAAGAGATCTCACAGCCAAGGGATCTCACAGCCAAGAGATCTCACAGCCAAGGGATCTCACAGCCAAGGGATTTCACAGCAAAGGGATCTCACAGCCAAGAGATCTCACAGCCAAGAGATCTCACAGCCAAGAGATCTCACAGCCAAGAGATCTCACAGCCAAGGGATTTCACAGCAAAGGGATCTCACAGCCAAGGGATCTCACAGCCAGGAGATCTCACAGTCAAGCTTCGTTTTCACATCTTCCACTTCCAGATTTTGAGGGAAGTCTCGCACGAAAGCATTGTTTTCACATCTTCAGCTTTCACTTTTTGAAGGAAGTCTCGCACGAAATCCGTTTCTGAGAGATAGTAGATGCACGAAATGCTATGTTTTGCAGGACAAAATGTGTCTCGGAAGATGGATGGGGAAGCTTGTCCGGCGGACGGTGTCGGAACACGCTCGTTTGTACCGGGATCATGGTCGGATCGGCCGCGAATTGGAACTGCCCGTTCAGGCTTATTTTTCACAACTTGAACTTTCAACATTTGAAGGAAGTCTCGCATGAAAGCTTCGTTTTTCCATTTGCCGCTTTCACTTTTTGAGGGACGTCTCGCACGAAAGCTTCGTTTTCACATCTTCAACTTTCACTTTTGGAGGGATGTCTCGCACGAAAGCTACGTTTTGACATCTTCAATTGCCACTTTTGAGGGAAGTCTCCAACGAAAGCTTCGTTTTCATATCTTCAACTTTCAGATTTTGAGGGACGTCTCACGTCTGTGTTTTCACATCTTCTACCTTCAGATTTTAAGGGAAATCTCGCAAGAAAGCTTCGTTTTCACATCTGATCTTTAAGTGTCGGATTTTGAAGGAAGTCTCGCATTGTAATGGCTGCGTCAAGGTTGCTTGGCGCGGCGGCTGCGTGCATAATACTATGGTCTTTTGCGGCTGGACATTGTAAATCGTATTGGAGCAGCTGCATCAAGGCTGCGCTGGTGATTTGTCAGCAGAATTTCTTAATTTTGGCCCTGGTGATTTTCTTTTTAAAATTCCTTTTAAAAACTTTTTCAAAATCATATCTTTTTTGCTTTGGCATCAAGATCCGGTTTTCGAGCTGCAATTTGTGTAGCCGTTGAGGGAAATTCTCTTGTGTTTTGCAACTCAGTCTCTGCAGATCGCAGTGGAATGGCTGCGTCAAGGTTCTGTGCTGCTGCGGGCACGTGCGTAATACTATTGTCTTTTGCAGCTGGACACTGTAAAGTTCTTGGCACTTTAGGAAGGCAGAGCCTGTTTCAAAAGCTGCTTTTTTTTTTGCACTTTAGCAAGGTGCAGCCTGTTTTAGGAGCTGCCTCTGTGACATTTTAGGGCGGCACAGCCTGTTTTAGGAGCTGCTTTTTTCACACTTTAGAAAGGCACAGCCTATTCTAGGAGCTGCCTTTTTGACACTTTAGGACGGCACAGCCTGTTTTAGGAGCTGCTTTTTTGACACTTTCGGGCGACACAGCATGCTTTTGGGAGCTATGCTTTTGGAACTTTAGGGCGGCACAGTTTGTTTTAGGAGCTGCTTTGTTGACACTTTAGCAAGGCACAGCCTATTCTAGGAGCTATGTTTTTGCATCGGCGGCACGGCCTGTTTTAGGGAGCTGCCTTTTTGACACTTTAGGGCGGCACAGCCTGTTTTTGAACCCTTTGTATATTAACATGGGGCTCCGGGGAGATCACATGGTCGTCGCTTTGGGGTTATACTTTACTGGCTACGCCAGAGGGTGTGAGTCGTCAGGCTTGTGCGGCCTTGCTTTGCAGTTGTCCTACTAGGCTTAACCCTAGCAGTCCCGTAAATTCGTATTGGCGTCCAGGGTCTGCCTGGAGCCCAGAGGCTCGAGCGCCCATGTATATGGTCTTGGCGCTCTCACCTGTTTAGGGTTTAGGGTTTAGAGTTTTGCTTTGGCGCCGCGATCCGTTTTTGGAGCAGGTTTTGGGCCAGAGAAAAGGTGAGATGATTTGAGAGTGCGCTGAGAAAAGCTGAGATGAGGTGAGATGAGCTGACAAGAGCTGAGATCACCTGAGCAGATGTGAGAAGAGCTCAGAAGATGTGAGAAGAGGAGAGAAGAGATGAGAACACATAAGATGAGCTTACATGAGCTGGCGAGAGCTGAGAAGAGTTGAGAAGAGCTGTGAAAATCTGAAAAGCTGAGATAAGCTGAGATGAGATGAGAAGAGATGAGAAAAGCTCAGGTGACATGAGAAGAGATGAGAACAGTTGTGATCAGCTGAAAAGAGCTGAGAAAGGGAGAGAAGATGTCAGATGGGATGGGATGAGGTGAGGTGAAAAAACTCAGAAGGCATGAGATGAGTTGAGATGGGATGACACAGACTGCGGTGACAGAGGGGTGCACTGAGCAATTTCCAAGAGAAGCTGCGATGCGATGAGATCAGATGAGATGAGGAAAGATTCAACATTCGAAAGACATGGCATCAGATTGACAAGTCAAGAGCTTGTTGCTGCGATGCACAGGAGGCTTGCCTGTCACCTATAGGCACAGCCTTTGCTCCGCTCTATAGGCTATAAGCGTTTCAAATTTGAAACTTCCGCCCCCGGCTTGTCCGCGTACTTGTAAAATACAAAAAATGAACATACAATTCAATGCTGGAAAAAATACAAAAACATGAACATACAATTCAATGCTGGAACCCACAATTAAAGCCCGCGACCCCGAACGTACATCACCAGCTAGAAACATGCCCATTGGAAAAAAACAGATGCTGAGCTTGAGGGCGCTTCTAAAAGTTGGACTCTACAAGAGTCTTGAGGCCACCCCTGGGAGGATGCACTATGATATCTTTGTGGGATACCTCGAGGACACTTTGCGGGGCACGTACCGCATATCCAACACTGCGCGCGGCAATGGCCTGAGAAAGGTGTAGATGGAGGTCTTTATCTCTCTGCTACGTTTTGCAACATTTTACTACTTGCCCCTTCTTCCTTCTCATTACTGATGCTTTCGGCTGGTTTCTCTGACTGACTGCCACTTCCCGTGTTGCTTCCACATTCAGAATACTTTCCGTTTTTCCACTCTTTCTGCCAGTGCCAGTTGGTTTCTACCTACTTGCCCCTGTTCGTGCCACTTGCCGCTGCTTTTCCATGCTACTTACTGGTGGTTTCTGCAGCTTCAAGTGCCACTTTGTCATGCCTGCTTGAGTGGCACCGTTATTTTTCCAGGACCACCTTCATGACAAGAGTCCACCGCTGAGCAGCACGGCAGCTGGTCTGTCACTGTTGGGTACCGTCACATTCAGCGCCTTGAGCGCCTTCATGGAACCTGTATGTTTGGAAGAGATTGATGGCGCCACAACAGCGATGTTGCAACGAAACCAGGATGACAAATCAGGTCTCATGGTGGCCACTACACGCAAAGTCCCGTTCGAGCGTCGCTCTTTGACTGTCCCCATGAAGAACCAATGCTGGAGTTGGATGCCTGGTTGAGTCCCATCTCTGACAATGACCTGACAATTCGATACTTCTACAGAAACGTCACTCGCTGGAAGAAACCTTTCTTCCTTCAAGCCCTGTCTTCGTATCCATGGTGACAATATTAGCAAGCACGCAAGCAAAGTATGCAGCAGTCGATCACAGCGCAACCACCTTTGCTTTGGAATCGAAATCCCCTGCACTTCCGGTGCTTCCTGGTCGAAACTCAGGACTTGTCCAAACAAGATGCGACTGGGCAAAAACTCACCGAGCTCTGAAATTTCTGAACTCCTTTCGAAATCAAACCCCCCAAAAAACGGTTCGCTTCATTTCGAAGCCCTGCCTTGCACTCCTTGGTGAGGCCCCTGGGTTTCTGACCGAGACCCTCAGGTTCAGGGGCAACTCTTTCGTAGGCCTCGGCACCTTCTGCCAGCTCGAGGTCATCGCTGCGAAGAATTCGCGCCAAACCCAGCGCCATGTTTTGCGCTGCGCCAGAGCGTCCGCAGCGATATGTACCGACTTTCTGTTGCTGTAAAGGACGAGTTACAGAAACACAAGTCACTGCGGTTCAATCTTTCGGTGGTGCAGGATTCAAGATGATTCAAGCAGGGAATGCGTTCCATGTTTCCATCTGTTTTTGATTCGGTCAGGCACAACAAGGAGTTTGCACATGGCACATGGTCAAGCCTCCCATCCGCAAAGTCAGAAAATGTCACGGGCTGCTGATCCAGGACAGCACGACGCACATGACATGGTGGCCACGGCAAAAGACACCAGGGGCGTGAAAAAATGATGTAAAACATGACTGCATGCTAATCATGCTGCATGCCAGCTATTTTAACCACACTCACTCCCACCATGTTGCTATCAATAGATAGCCGCATTGCACTCTTCCACAGTGCTACCCCGCCCCAAGCAACACATCTACGCGCAGTCGTTGCTGTAACTGCTCAGTTTGCCTGGCAGGCTGCAAATGCTCCCAGCTTTCTGCAAACACAGAAGTACTTGCTACAGCTTCCAAGAACCGGCGCATCAAAGAAACATTGACCGCATGGTGGGAAAACCAGAACCTGTACCCCAAAACAAACGTTCCAAACATCTTACAAGAACATACTACATCATACTACAATATACCGAAGCAACATCCAACTTGATAACTCTCATCCAACTGCTACAAGTTGTGACAACTAAATCACACTCCAAGCATCTCCCACTCCAAGCCTTCACCTGGATCAACGGTCTCAAATGTGCAAAGAGATCGAACAGCTGAAGCTCCTAGCGTCGATCTCCGCAGCCCTTTAGGGAATCTGCATAAATCTGATGCTTCCAAGATGAATGTAGATTGTATTACCTATATAAATGAACATAGATAAATTAGGATGAAATCCATCTAGAGATGGGCCGACATCGCTGGCTTCTTGGACTCTTTGTGTCCTCATCACATCCCTGGCAAAGCCGTTCATCCGCCTGCGTCTATCCAGCAACATGTCTTGTTCCATGTCCTTCTCTCTGTTGGTTTCATTCTAAAATTGGAATATCATTATTACATATTGTTACACTTATATTTACATAGTGGATGGCTTAATCATGTTCTATCATGTTCCATCTGTTTATCATATCCATATGAATCTGTATTGATCTGTCTTGATGAAATTCTCGAATTGGTTTGAATTGGCCCAGGCTTGTGGCTTGCCTTTGAGAAGAGCATCGAGCACTGTGCTTTCACGGGATCTGACAATTCGCTGTCCTTCACGAAGTCAATACATGTCACAACATGTCAAAACGTGAAACGCCAAGCAGAAGGAGACAACGTATTGCACGTATGGCATCTTTGGTGACAGGGTCCCGCTCTTAATCCCACTTTCTACCCTTGGACTTTCATGATTTTGATGATTTTGGATATCCTTGGAACATCGTAACATCGATTCAGATTCTGCTGACAGATCGCTTTACCAAATCAATGCCTCAGCAATGAGCTCCAGAAGCTGCTCCATGACCTCACAACTAGACAACGCTTTTCGTATACCCACATGACAGGGATGGAAACCATTGGAAATCCAAAATTCATCCAACATGGTCATGATTGGCCATGACTGCACTGCCGCAGCAACAAATGCATCATTTGAATGTCGATGAATATCGATGCATCATTCATCATCAATGAATATATCAGATGAATTATGATGAATTCAAATGAATCACTGTTGCATACTGTTGCACTCTACAAAAAAGCCCCCTGCCTGAAGTCCGGAATAGCCATCGAGGAGAAAGTCTCTGACGGCTTGCAAGACCTTGCGCAAGGCGATACAAAAACACTGTTGGGTGTGCTTGAAAATGGGGGTACGACGGGGCATGGACCCAGCAAATGGTCAATCTAACAGGGACACTGGTGACAAACCATTGCCCTTGTTGGGTCAAGTTGTTCTATCAGAGCAGCACGAACGACCCCAAAGTGGGAGGCTTGAATGATGCCATATGATGCCATACTTTGCAACTGCTTGAATCTGATAATTACTGTACTAATAATATCTAACAACTACAGTACTTTAGAATGATATGACTTATTCCAGTCCCCTTTTAGACACCGTGTTTCAAAGATGTTCAAAGAATGCAATGGGGATCCCTAGCGACGACCTCAACATCCAAAGGCACCTGGTCTGTCGACTGGGCACTTCGTGCTTCGCGCAGCAATGCCATGGTTCTCGACTCCGGCACTGCTCCAGCTACCTGGCACCAGGCACTGTTCGCCCACCAGCCACATTGCGCAGCACTTGGTTTCACTTGGTGCAGCAACTCCCGATCCCTGGGAGCCGGGCCTCTACGATAGAGTGTTCGTTGACCTGGGGTCAAGATGATCAAGATATATCAAGATATATCAAGATATATCTTGATATATCAAGATATATCAAGATATCTCAAGATATCTCAAGATGTCAAAACGAGACTGGTTTGGACCAGGAGTAGACAGGACATGACAGGAACACATTGCGCATATGTTGCAAATCAACGCAGCACCTGGGTATAGAAGCTCACAGCCGTCTGCAGCATAGTCACTGCACAGCGCATGTCGCCCTGGGGCAATAACATCAAAAAAGATCAACGCATCAAGCTGAAATCTTCCCAGATTCTCCATCCAGGCCATCTACATTCCACTTCAGAGATTTTCATGACAGCACAAACCAAGATCATATATATTATATATATATAATTTATATTCATATATATATATACATAAGCTATATCATATATTGATGTTCTTGTGGAAAAAGAATTGACCAATGGTCCATTTTGAAGAGCTTGTGGATGGTTGTAGCAGTTGCCAAATGCCTTGGACAAAACAATGAGTTTGTCGAGCGCTTCGGGGCTAATCGCCACCTTCTCCTGCCGGATTGCATCCATCTGCATCCTCTCATTGGATCCGTTTAATGAGTTCAATGGGAAAATCGAAAATTTTCAAAAACTTCCTTCTTTTACGCAAAAAAACATGGGAAATACATGGTTTCCTGATGTTTCCTGATGTTTCCTGATGTTTCCTGTCGTTTCCTCAGATCATCCCAATGACGCCTCGTTGCAAATGTGGAGCAAGCGACTCTTCTGAAATTCAGGACCTGGCAGGGTGACAAAATTCACCAAAATTTTAGAGATTCCCAGACACCATAGGCTGAATCAATTCAGGGTAGGGTAAGCCAGCCCTGCATAATTCCTCAAGTGATTTACATAATTATGGATGAATCCCGACCACATATCACCCGATAAGCTCAGCAAACTCCAGGCCACCTACGGGTTGAAAGCGAAACTTGGAACATCTGGAGTGGAGCGGCCTGAAAGCGGACGTGTTCGATCAGGACTTCTAGGTTGCTTTCCAACTTCAAAACATGATTCTGATATATTCTGATTTCAATTCAGTCAATTCAGCACTTCCGAGTTGCTCAATGATCTTGGACACATAGTTGCAAATAATGATGAATCGCGTCACTTGAACAAACTCCTGGCAGCTTGCAAATCAACGAATATCAATACTGTTCACAAGCGTGTGCTCTAGGGACTCTAGGCTAGGTGTTTGGTCCGCTTTCTTAATCACCATGCAACTAATTGTGCATAAAATCAGATGTGATGATGGAACATTTGGAGGTTTCCAAAAAGGGATAGCCCCGGTTCTCATCCATTTTAGATGGGCATTTTCCATGACATAAACCATCCAGCCATTCATGGAAACCTCCATTTAAGGACAATTTTGAGTCCTCCATGATCCGTCGCAAAGCCGCTTGTGCATCATGCCTTGGACATCGCAAGGAGGCTTGCTCGACACTCGATGCTCGGAAACAACAAGCAAAAACCCGCCAAAAAACAACGACAAACATTATCATTAGGTGGCTACCAACAGGACTGAAGAGTCATAACATGTCATAACATAATGTTTCAGCTGAGACAAGCCGCGTCATGGAGTCAGCCTCATCGAGAATGATAACCTTGTTTGACAAATGAGTCTGAAGAGTCAAGTTGTTCCTGTCCGGAAGCAAAAAGTTGTTGCCCCACAGTCTCAACAAAGTCAAATGTCTCTGGGATTTTTCCAGCTGCACGGTAGCTTGCTGCATGCCTTGCCAGAATTAAGAATGTACGTGAAGGAGAGGCTAATTCAAGACCCATTCAATGCCACCAAGAGGCTCGAAAGCGAGCTGCTGATTCTCCACCTTCAGTGTAAACGACTTGGAGTAGCCTATGTTTTTCCCCCTTCAAAGGACAAAGCCCAGGCATCAGAGAAAGAATAGAAAAACAGGCATGCCAGTAGAATCAAAGCTCTGGTGGGTTCCCAAGACTGTGTATCTTCCAAAAGCTGTATACATATCATCTTGAAAGCGGAAAAACATGAAAAAACAACAGTTTGAACCAAGTCTTCAACTTTGGATGGCATCAACTAGCCCATCCATGTCAACAATGGAACAGTGAGAACACCCCATCTCATTCTGCAGTTTGTCTTGTCACATACCACCCACTTCACTGAAATCCAAACCACCAACCCCTCGGCAAAACTCACCTATTGACAGCTGCGCGAAGGTCTTTACCTGGCCAGCAACATCTCCATTCACCCTCCTGTGCACAATAGCCCCCCAATTTAAATTCATAGACAAATAGACAAATTCATGGGCCTTCTCGCGCACTGCAGAAATACCACGCTCATCTGATGCATTCAACTCCTGCATTTGAACAAACATAGAAGTTAGATGAACTCAGTTGGCCAAATTTCAGCCTAACTTAGTTCACTGCAATGCACTGCAATGCCCTTTTAGTCCTTGACTCTTGATCGCCATTCGCGTCCAAAAAATTGTTTCATCAAAGCTAGAGCCTCGATTCGCTCCACTCAGAGCACTGGAGGCCAGAAACATGACATGTCTGGGTCCAAGCGGCCACAGTTGTCTTTCCAGTTCCAGGTGGGCCATAAAACCTGAAACGGGCGTGAAAAAAAAGCCGTGACAAGGATACAACTTCAACTTTCGGCTGAGAACATGCCAGTGAGACATGAGATTTGGCAACTCACCTGACAATTGAAGATTTCTTCGGTGCAGTGAATCTTTGGAGTCTCTCAGAATCGTCAGAGTTGATGGGTCCAGGGTCGCCTGTCTGAAGACTGTGCTTCAGCGCTGCCACAACCTCTTCCTGTTCAGCGCTGCTACAGACTTGGTGGAAAAAATCTGCGCCTCACATCTCCCACGTTTTTCTCTTCATAACAACCAATAAGAAGAGAATTGACAATGATATTAATGATATCATATATCATTAATAATAAGCAACTATTTACACCATTACAGTATATATATATTACACACACATATATATATATATCAGTATATTAATCAATGCTATATCATCAATACTAATAGATTACTAAAATCCTTGTGGTATAATAAGACTCCTGGGGCTTCCTCCACCCGTCGCCCAGTCAGCATTGCCCACCTGCTGGGCGACATCTTCGATCCGATCTGGTCGATACTTCTCCACCCAAGGTAGCCCTGGGCAATGGACATAGATGGAAATAGATTAATATAGTAAACTACTTACGAATAATAAATACTAATAGTATAATAATAGTAGTAACAGTAATAGTAATATTGAGTCAAATATTGGGATGTAATTATCAAGAATACTCCAAACGATGAACTTCACAATTTGCAATGTCTTCTGGGGTCGCTGCCAGGCTCCTTCTCCTGAACATTAGCTGAGCTGCAGCCCAGTGCACACTTGAAAACGTCTATTATGAAAGACTGCTCTGTCCCTGTCCAGTGCTACACTTTGCAGAATCAAACAAATCGATGTTTTGCTTGCATCGCAAGTCTTTAGTTGTGGCACTGTCATCTGCATTTCTCGCTCTTGCATTCCCAATACATTCCAAAAGAAATAGATCTCACCCTCAAGGTCGCCCAGTCTTTCGTTGACTGCTTTGAGTAAAAAGCCAGGCCTCTACAACCTCTCCGCTCTCTGTTTTGGCTCTCTTCCCAAGTGGCATCTGACATCGACTCTCCACTTCCACTGTTGTCACATGTTGTCACATGTTGTCACATGTTGTCACATGTTGTCACATGTTGTCACATGTTGTCACATTGTCACAGTTGGTGCTTTGCCAATCTGCGTTCCAACTCATCATGACACCAAGAAAACCGAGCTGTCGCCAACGATGTCTGAGTTCAAGTCCATTGGCCCGAAAAAACAGAAACGCCGAGGACGTTATCGGCTGATTTGAACCAAAAGCGGCTACGGTGCCGTGCTGAGGGCATAGAGTGGCAGTTCGACAACGTCGATCCTGAGCAAATGATGACGGTGCATGTTGTGCAAATTTGCGGGGCATTGACCAAACATGACCATAGCAACCAATCATCCACAGTCCATCCCATAACGAGTCCCTGCTGCTGCCAGCTCAACTCACAGAACCTGACGCTGAAGAACTTGGCGCAATGCCACAGCACTTTTTGGAAACTCCCTTTGGGATCTGAGCTGGGTCTGAATTAGTCAGTGCCTGACTTTAGTGCAAATGCTCACTGACATTGAAATACGTGAAACCCTCACATTTGAAATCTCAACAAGCTGATGAAGCTCAGCAGAATTGCAAAGCACCCCAAACGTGACGCACTATCGCAGTCGACGTCACAAGTGCCTCAGTGTTTTGCCAATTTCTGCCATAGGTTTTACCATTGTAGAGACACATCCAGAAGCACAGCAAGCGGCAAAAATCTGAGTTCCCAGCGGTTGGTCACGACTTGTATTGTGCTCTGGAAGCCCGTGCACAAATCACGAGTGTGATTGTTGAGGCATTCGTCCACGTAGGATCCTCTTGCCATACAAAACATTGTGCATTTCAGGCAATTGCAATCCGATTCCTTGGATGGAGATGGAGTCAGAAATAGTCGGAATGAAAACACACAGCCGGAAAACCATCCACAATCGCTCGAATCGTTCGTCTTCTCGCACTTTGACTCTCATGTCTTTTGTGCCGAGATTCAGCTAACTTTAGCGTGCAGGAGGGTGGTCCACAATGACTGAGGCAAACAGCGGTATGCTTTCGCACCTCGATTTGAACACATCCAAACAGGATGACATCCGAATCCAAAGAACCGGAACAAACGGATCGGAATCCGAACTGGGGGAGGAACCGATCATTTAACATTCACCAAATATTTCATGTGTTTTCACGTGTCACATTTTTTCACGCTCCAAACTTCCCCAGGCCACGGTCCGACGGTGCCTTGTTTTGCTCCAGGCCAGCTGCGACGGGACCACGGATGTCGAGGTTGCCCAGGCCGCAGCCAACGTACCAATTTACATCTCCTCAGGGCGTGTCCATTTAGATCGATATCTTAGATATCTTAAGTTTCAGAAATCTTCCATGATCTTCCATGGTTTTATGATTTTTATGTGTACCTTGGATTATCTTGGCATATTTGGTTCACTGTCATTTCCCACACTGGAAACGTCCTGGAGTACTCCACCTACAAGCACTTTCTTACCTCTTGTCTGCATTGGCCAGAAAGGCGTTCAGCCTAAAACATCCCCAAGGATATTTCTCTCTCACTTTTTCCTGGGATGCCAATCTTGCCAGATCTTTCTACATATTTCTTCTGTTTTCATCACTTTCATCATTTTCAAAGTCATGAAGTCGTCCTGGAACTTGCCGCCAGTCAGGTACCACCCGCTGCGTCTCAGCTGGCACCCAGAAGGCGCACAGCCACGTGAGGCGCGCCCATGGCGAGCCCATGGCGAGCCCATGGGCCGTGGAGCCATCTGCGGAAACGCACAGAAACACCGTGGGAATCAACGGACGTTTCAGTGGAGAAATATGACTATACACGGCTATCAATGACCACTATATGGCTACTATACATGGCTACTATACATGGCTACTATGCATGGCTATATGGTTATCACTGATATCACTGATATCATATCACTGATATCACTGATATCGCTTCTATCACTTCTATCACTTCTAGCACTTCTATCACTTTGCGCTGTGTTGATCGAAATGGGAAAGACTGGAATTTTCCACCGCATGAATCATGAACGCGTTCAGAAAATTGATTGGTGCAAAAAAAACAAACTGTTGACAAAATGAACCAATGTACTGTGCCAAGGGATCGACAGCCTAAACCTTTGGCAGGGTGGCAGGGAGATTTGTTGGCAGGTTTTTTGACGAGTTTTCGGTTCTGGGTGATTTTTTGTTGGGTTTTTGAGGCAGGCTGGACATTCTTGGTGTTTGCTGTCTTTTTCGTTCTTCTGTAGGTTTTTGCGTAGGCATTTGCTGGGTTTCAACCTGAAAAAAAGGAAACATACGGCCAAGAATCGGAACAAATTACACCGGCAAGAGACCCCAAACAGTGTGGGCAGTAGGAAGTCAATGTGCAAGATACAAGCAACAGTAGCTATGGAACAGTAACCGATGAGGTTCGACACTATGGAAGCTGCAGCAGCAGGACCTTCTATATAGATTTGTATAGAGGAATTCACGAGATCTTCATACAAGAACTTCCCATGAGCATCCCAGAAGAACTTTGATACATACACCAACGCAGAGGATCCAGAGGATCTTCAAGATCTTAACGCGAGGGCCTCTTGAGGAGGATTTCAGCGGGATCTCCACACACAATCTTTTCACCAGGACCTGTATCAGATCATGTAAAGACACCGACAGGATTTCACCAGGGCCTCTTCAAGAGCTTGTCACAAGGACCTGTACTTTACAAGATCATGCAAAGGCTTCTGACAGCATTTCACTACAAGATCTTCGCGCAAGGACTTGTAAAAGACCTTGAGCAAGATCTTCACGCCAGGACACACAAGATCGTCATAAAGGGACCTGCGGCTGCTGCTGCTGCTGCTGCTGCTGGGTTTGTAAGATCTTGATACAAGAGCCTGCCAAGAGCCACCCACAAGAGCTTTCATATAAGCACCTCTAAGACATGGCATCTGCAAGCTCCTCATGCAAGGACGTCTGAAAAAACTTCACCAGGATCTCCACCAGATCTTGTGTCAAGGACCTCTTAGAGGATTTTGCAATTAAAATTTACAATGAAAATGCCGCAGGCCCTGAAAAATGCCGCAGACCCAGAGCTTGAGAACCCTGCAGCGCAGACTTTGTGCGAGCCGGCAGGAAGAGTGCCGGGGGCCAGAGCGCGAACCCTGATCCAACCCCACCCCTCAGTGGGGACCTCTGTTGGGGGAAAAACAGGTTTGGATATTTCACTTTTTCGGAAGGCTCAAGAAGGGAGACAACACGCGTTTTGAAATGAATATGTAGTGAATCACTGGGTACATGGAAACAAGACCTCTCATGGGTGAGCAATCCAGTCAGATGATCTGCTGTGTTTTTGCATCTACCGGGGGATTGATATTGCTGAAGAACGTGCATGTCCGCCAACGTTTTGCTCGCAAAGTTTGCGAAGGAGTTAGGTCCTCCTTAGAAGGTGGCATCAGCTACTGCGTAAGGCAGCATTGGTCATCGCCGCCCATGTAGGTCCAGGGCTTCTTGCAATTGTAAGCGCTACCTTTGGTGCACTTTGCCGATTTGGTCGTGACGCATTTATCGTCGCCACCCAGGTAGGTCCAGTCACCTTTGCAAAAATGGAAGTTACTCTTGATTTCAGTGAGCCACACTTGGTGATCTGAAGTCAGACAACATTGGTCATCGCCGCCCATGTAGGTCCAGGGCTTCTTGCAATGGTGAAAGTTACCTTTCGTACACTGTGCCCATTTGGTGGTGACACATTTATCGTTGCCACCCAGGTAGGTCCAGTCGCCTTTGCAAAAATGGAAGCCACTCTTGATTTCAGTGAGCCACACTTGGTGATCTGAAGTCAGACAACATTGGTCATCGCCGCCCATGTAGGTCCAGGGCTTCTTGCAATGGTGAAAGTTACCTTTCGTACACTGTGCCCATTTGGTGGTGACACATTTATCGTTGCCACCCAGGTAGGTCCAGTCGCCTTTGCAAAAATGGAAGTCGCTCTTGATTTCAGTGAGCCACACTTGGTGATCTGAAGTCAGACAACATTGGTCATCGCCGCCCATGTAGGTCCAGGGCTTCTTGCAATGGTGAAAGTTACCTTTCGTACACTTTGTCCATTTGGTGGTGACACATTTATCGTTGCCACCCAGGTAGGTCCAGTCGCCTTTGCAAAAATGGAAGTCACTCTTGATTTCAGTGAGCCACATTTGGTTATCTGAAGTCAGACAACATTGGTCATCACCGCCAAGGTAGGTCCAGGGCTTCTTGCAATGGTGAAAATTACCTGTGGTGCACTTTGCCCATTTGTAAGTGCAACACTTTCCGTCCACCAATTGCCACTCACCTTTGCAATAGTCGGAGCTCCGTACTTCCACGCACGTCATCTCCCATTCTTCACCTACATCTGTTGAGAGAGATCCACCACTGCCCATTCTTTTGGCCACACTCTCGATAACCAAAAGAAACGTGAATTTCACAAAGATGGAGACCATTGGGATGGAAATAAGAACGAAAGCGTCAACAAACTGCGTCAAACTGAGAAAAGCCGCAGCCTCAAGGCTCGAGCCTTCAAAATGCAGGCAGTGTCCTCAATGGACCATGCATGGACCATGTCGATTTCCATGGTTTGGGTGGAAGGGGTTTGAAATTATGGTTTTGGGGATGTTCAGGGGGGCCAGATCCAAACTTTCACAGCAAGGTGACCAGTGAACAATCGATGTCAGATCGAGTGCAAAGTCTGCATCTTTTTCGCGTCGTTGAAATCTGCTCTCATGCCTTGGAGTCCTTCGGCTCCTTCGGCTCCTGCGACTCCTTGGGCTTGGATGGTGCGGTCATGAAGTAAAACATGGGAATGCCGGCGAAGGTGATGATGGCACCATAGGGTGAACCAAAGAGGCGGTACCACATGACATGGAAACAATAGGCATAGAGCGACCACAAATTCAGCCAGGCGGTGACCCCCTTGGGGTCTGATGGGGTGAAGGCGCCAGCGATGAAGCAAACCACCAAGGTAAACTCGCCCAGGAACATGCGAAATCTTTCCTCACAAGAACGGTCAATTCGATATAAAATCCCACAACATATCTGTATCATCTATATATCATCTATATATCATCTATATATCATCTATATATCATCTATATATAATCTATACATCGGTCTACGTTGGATTGTGAAACTTCCCGGTTGGATTGTGAAACTTGGATTGTGAAACTTTCCGCGCGGATTGTGAAACTGGTATTGTGAAACTTGCAAATCAGATTGTGAAACTTGAAACTAGGATTGTGAAACTCTAAAGTTGGATTGTGAAACTCTGAAGACGGATTGTGAAACTGGGATTGCACAACTCTAAATGCGGATTGTGAAACTCTGCAGACGGATTGTGAAACTCTGGGGACGGATTGTGAAACTGAGACTGTGAAACTCTGAAGACAAATTGTGAGAATCTTCATATCATCTTAACCTTGTGGAGACTCCAAGTCAGTTTGAAGTTCCATGGGGAGAGGGAATTTTCATATCATCTTAACCTTGCGGAGACTCCAAGTCAGTTTGAAGTTCCATGGGGAGAGGGAATTTTCATATCATCTTAACCTTGTGGAGACTCCAAGTCAGTTTGAAGTTCCATGGGGGTGAGAATCTTCATATCATCTTAACCTTGTGGAGACTCCAAGTCCGTTTGAAGTTCCATGGGGAGAGGGAATTTTCATATCATCTTAGCTTTGTGGAGGCTCCAAGTCAGTTTGATGTTCCATGGGGGTGGGAATTTTGATACCATCTTAACCTTGTGGAAACCCCAAATGAGTTTGAAGGTCCATGGGGGTGGGAATTTTCATATCATCGTAGCTTTGTGGAGGCTCCAAGCCAGTTTGAAGTTCCATGGGGGTGGGAAATTCCATATCATCTTAACCTTGTGGAGACTCCAAGTCAGTTTGAAGTTCCATGGGGTAGGATTTTTTCATATCATCCTAGCTTTGTGGAGACTCCAAGCCAGTTTGATGTTCCATGGAACTGGGAATTTTCATATCGCCTTAGCTTTGTGGGGACTCCAAGTAAGTTTGAATTTCCATGGGGAGAGGGAATTTTGATACCATCTAAACCTTCTGGAGACTCCAAGTCAGTTTGAAGTTCCATTGGGGTGGGAATTGTCATATCATCTTAGCTTTGTGGAGACCCCGGGTCAGTTTGAAGTTCCATGGGGGTGGGAATGCTGATGCCATCTTAACCTTGTGGAGACTCCAAGTCAGTTTGAAGTTCCGGGGTGGGAATTTTGATATAATCTTAGCATTTTTTTGGGACTCCAAGTCAATTTGAAGATCCATGGGGGTGGGAATTTTGATACCATCTTAACCTTGTGGAGACTCCAAGTCAGTTTGAAGTTCCGGGGTGTGAATTTTGATATAATCTTAGCATTTTGGGGACTCCAAGTCAATTTGAAGATCCATGGTGGTGGGAATTTTGATATCACCTTAGCTTTGTGGAGACTCCAAGTCAGGTTGAAGTTCGATATGCGTGCAAATGTTGATATCATCTTAAACTTGAGCAAGCCAAGTTGCGCAATCCTAGTTGCGCAATCCGACCAAAGAGTTGCGCAATCCTGGGAGTTGCCTAATCCGGAGAAGTTTCGTAATCGGACTTTATTCCTATATATCATCTATTATCAGTATGATCGATATGTGATCTATATGTGATCCATATCTGTGATCTATTGGAATGTATCAACTAGAAATCAAGCCGGGAATACCACTAGCAACACAGGAGCCATCAACATCGCCAAGCATCCCAAGTTGAGTAAGGAGAATGCACATCGCAACGTCCCCACATGTCTGGCATAGAGTCCAAACAAAGCAGCATCAAGAGGAAAGGCCAATACGATTTCACCAGCGTCGCAATCTTCTCGCTTCCAGCCAGTGGCCTTCACAACAGGTGCCAGGACAACGGGCCAGACTGAAGAGTATCCCATTTACAACATCCACAAACCAAGGTCGTGGGTCCAGGGTATGGATCGGGGCCTCATATTTTGAGTCGCGGCTACTTGATCCTGTTTAAGAAACTTAAACAATGTGAAACAACAACTAGTCACCATTAGTCACCATTAGTCACCATTAGTCACCAGTCTAGGCCAGGGGACCATTGGAAGGTCACCATTCCGACAATGTTCAAGTTCACCAAGTGAGCAAAGCTATCCTGATCCCAGGGAATCACCACCATCTGCATATAGGAAAAGGCCAGCAAGACCCAGCCGATCATTCCGGTATTCTCATCCCGGCACACCATGGCAGCCAACAGGCTCAGGAACAGCGTCCCACCCACATGCACCAGAATCAGTGGTGTATGTCGCAGCACCGGAGCATAGAACTGGATCCATTTCGAAACGTTTTCTTCCTGAAAGGTCTGGGTCACGATATCCGTATCCCCGGTAAAGCCTCGGACGAAGAATGCCAAGGCTCCGGCCGAAACGGTACCCCAGAAGATGGTAAAGAGCTGGGTACTGGCATCCTTGGCCCCGTCCTTTTCACGCGTGCGCAAGGCTTGCCGCAAGGGCTCGGCAAGGGGAGCCATGATCAGGAGCATCACCACGAAGAACCTGTTGTATCTGTATGTATCTGTGAAAAATAGGGAAGACAGGGAGCATATTTGGGAAACACATGGAGAAAGATAGCTACCTCATACAGTCTCTGGCAATGTTGGAAACAGGGCAGTACGAGAAGGCGACAACAGGTCATTGAATTGGGAGAGCTCCTGTCTCTGCAAAACCCTTCCACAAACTGTGACCATAGCAATTCATCTCAGACCAAGAAGCATCTGAAAGATGGTGTTGCCAAAGTCGTGCTTCCAGTCTCTTTTAGTCATCACATCAGCAAAAAGATTGGCTGACACACCTGCTGCAAACACGATGAGAAGGCGGAACGCATAGCCACACATACTGGATTTCGTCATCATAGAAGACATGCCACTGGTCACATATAAATACGGAAGTGCCCACCAAAGTCCAAAGCCCACGTTGCGGTGAGTGTAGCTGATTCCACCTCAGTGCTGGTGAGATCCAGTGCGAAACTACAAGTCAGAAATTCGTTCATCTGAAACGGTCTATAAATATGGATAATATGGTAGATTAAAGAAACAATCACATGATATCACATCCCACCCCAAAACGAGACTTTGTTGAAGCACGGCATAGATCTGCATAGAATCGAGACGGTAAGAATGACAAGTGCTAACACGAACAGTCCACGCCTTCTTTTCCTTGGGCCCGTCCCTCTCCAAATTTCTGTCCGCCATCACTTACTCAGTACATCTCAGGTCAGTACTTGTTTCGGCAGTCTTTAAAAATAGCAACTTATGGTACATCCACAAGATATCGCAAACATGTCTGCCCTTATTGCCTCCTCAATTTGTAGACACGCGACATTGGTCTACGTATACGTCTTCAACCTGTCGTTCCCCTGGGCTTCCCTGCCAGAATGTTCGAAGATGACACACATGACAGCACAAATCCGTGCAAAATCCACGTGGAAAAGTCGCTTGCTTTGCGTTTTTTCATTCTTTTCAAGCTTCTGTTCCCTTGAAGCTTCGTCATCTGCCCGGTCTGCTCGGTCTGCTCGGTCTGCCCGTTCGATGTTGTCGGCGTCGCGATCTCCTCGTTCTCGCTTGCGGAGTCTCTCTCCGCTTGACCAAAGGACTAAGCCAACGCAACCGACACAAAGAAATGGGAGAAATGTCCGGGAGATTGAAGTGCCAGCTCCATTGTCAAATGCATTGCCGTGACCTCAACATCTTGACAGTTGATACACTGACTTTTCTCTTGCAATTTAAAACCATTATGGCAGAATTAGAATTTTGCTATACGCAACATGGCGACAGCATGTATAGTCCCAATATCATTCAATATCTGTCTGAATCAAGTAACAAGCTGTGGTTTTCACGTGAAACAGCCAGTCTCCAGAGAAGTTCTGCTTCAGTTCTTCCTCTGTTGGAACATCATCCGGATTGAAATCTTGCAGTACTCTTGGTGCTGCCCGCTCGGGTTCAAGCACTGCGCGTAGGGAGTGCAGCGAACTGTTCAGTGTCTGGTTTGCTGAGGCTCGGTTCACAAGTTCCTGCTGTTCCTGTCTGGCCGTCGAAATAGATCTGACTATCTGGGGACTAAGCAACAGCAGCAGCTGCAATTCGCACATGAAGAGGTTCGATATCCACATGGCGAGCCCAGGATTCCCAAAGGATTCCAGCCTTCGGGCCTGTAGCTTGAACAGAAAGCAACAGAAACCTCCAAGTTGAACAGGCAAAAGATGCAAAAGCACCATGTCATCATGTTATGAATCCAAGTGAAACATGCCTGCATCATGTTCACTGATGTTCAACTACATGATTCTGATACATGTCGATATATTTTGATGCTTCACGAGTTCAACACCATATCATCCTATGCAGCAAGCAATAGCCTCAACAGCTACTGTGGTGATGGCTGCCATTCTTTCACTCTCTTTTTCTCATTTTTTCTCCCTGGTCTTCATCTAAAATCATCTAAAATCATCTAAATATGCGTGACGACCCACGAGACAACACCGATGGTGAAAACGAGAATTCCTGCAACTGCAACTCCCAAGCCAGCGTTCACCGTCTCAACAGAGACTGGAGATGTCTGCACTTTCACATCAAACTCGTGCGCAAGGCCAACGCACTGGCTGATACCTCAGCATGAGACATAACTTACACAACTTACATAACATTACCGTGCAATAATGACAGTTTTCCTGACTCCGGCGAAAGAAGTGGACATGAAAACCATGAAATGGATCATGGCTGATCATCTGGGCTGATCATGGGCCCAGTCCTTCGTTCTTCATCTTCGTTCAAGGCACAAAGTGCGCCATGGGCCCAGTCCTGCGGGACGTAGAGTAAGTCACCTCCTTCTTGGATCACCCGCAGTCCCTGAGGACCTCCAGTCTTTACCAGGTCCTGGAGGTCGCCGAGGAGACTGGATCAGATTGGATTGGCAAATGATAAAGGGAGATGGTTTTAAGGATAATTTTTGGGATAATTTTTGGGATAATTATATTAATTATTATGTTGGCTAATTATTTGGATCAAAGGTCATTGAAACATATTGAAACATTGATCTATGCCAAAGTCCTCATAGACCACTGTCTTGCGAAATTCTTGCTCTGCTGGAGGCTTCAGAAACCAGAGTTTTTTCCCAAAGATCAGCGAGTTCACCTTGCGAGAAAGGAATTTAGCACCTTGCCCCCTTGCATCCCTTAACCTGCGAGATCACATGAAACAAAGATAGACAATGTGAGATTATCCGAGAATCCATAATCAATCATAATCATTTATGATCTCAAACATCACTCTCTTGCCTGATTCCTTTCTATGTGCCCAGAAGATAGGCTTGAGATCACCAAAGTGCAAACTCAAAAAGGACCACCTCCAGGATTCTCCCGGAACATCTGCGTTCCTCCCTTTTCAGCAGCAACAGTCATCCCCGATGTTGAACTGGGATCCCCGCTGCGTCCACGTGATAGTGCAAGGGGCCTCAGAGCTTAAGACCAAGATACCATTGACTCCAATCCGTGTGTCAAAGTAGTGAAACGATGATAAACACATATGAAACATTATAAAACCAAAAAAACACATATCAAAATGTGAACAACAGAACAATCAGAACCATCAGAACCCTGTGGAGATAATGTGGAGCTAGACGTGTGCGGCAAGGTGCTGCCCATGAGCTGGCCACCAAGAGTAAACTGCGCCGAGCGGAGCAAGATCTGATCCTTGAAGAGCTTTGGAGGACTCCGCGCGAAGCTCAAAGGCCCTTCATCGTCCGGCAGACGTTCAAAGACGTAGCTGAAATTCTGACGAATCTCATCCGAAAGATCGCGTTGATCCAAAAAGTCGGTGTAGTCTTCCAAGCTCATCTCCACGGGAGCAACATCACGGAAGTCTCCCTCGTAAGGAGTGGAGAATGCCCAGACTTTTCGAGAACCTGCAACATCAAGCAGACCTTCTTTGGTAAATTTCACCTTGTCACTGACGCTCATCCGCACTCCTGCAAGAAATGAAGCACAGTTGAGGCTGTAACACAAACATACCAAACATGTCATGTCAATGTCAAGACTTCTCGGGATTTCACTTGTTCTCTGTGTGTCCATGACTTTGCTTGGTCCTCCTCGGATGAGCAGAGGCCGTCGCGCTGCCACGTAGTGTTTTTCGAAGACGTCCCAGTCAAATTGAGATGCGACGATGGAGTCGATCTCACAGCTTCCATGAGTCCAGTCTGCTGGGACGCCTAAAGTCTTCTCGGTTTCATCCGGTCACAAGCTAGAATGCAAAGAAATCTCGTTTGTGAACAAACAAGACAGTAAATACATAATAAATATTTATACACCATAGAAATATCATATACTATCATCAAAGATATACAAGATTATACATACATATATATACTAAGTATCACCAAATGTCCATCCTCTTTTTTCTGTTCGATTTAGCAAAAAAAACACATGTCGACTGCGAATCATTGCAAATCTCGGGAGCCTTGTTGTGCTTCTCCCCAGCCACCTGCGTCCTGCGTGGGCTTCTGACCTGACAAACAAGAACACAAAATCAGCAAAAATGGGAGATCTGTAATATTGAACAATATCGAAGTTCGAAGAATATTGAAGATGTGTTTTCTCCTATAGAAATTCAGAAAGTCAGAAGTTTCCAAGTTGCCAAGTCCTTCGCCCGTACCAAATAATGCGTGCTTTTCCGGCGAGGAATCTTCAAAATATCTATACCAGTGAGTGGCTTTTCAGTGCCTTCCACAGGAGGAAATAACTTTAAACCTTCTGGTCGCATGGTACTTTGAGTGCTTCCGCCTGAGCCAGAGACAGGGCCGAGTTCTATCCCGGTTCTATGCTGAAATGGTCCAACCATCTTCAAACGGATCAAGAGATATCAAGAAATGGCAGATGGCCAATGGTGATAATCTGTTGTCCAGAAATTACTCAAGATACCATGGCCATCAATGGCAGCATCAGCGCCCTGCTTCGCCTAGGGCATTGATCTTCTCTGCAGTCGCATGGAATCCTGCCAATGTGGCCAGGTCTGCAGCAGTGTAGCCTGGAAAATCTGGCCAGCAGCAAATTCATTGCATCAATTCACCCAATAGTTCTACTGAGTTCATGTTGAGTCATATTGCAATAGATGTACATATCATATATATATATATGTATAAAATAATATATATATATTATACATATAAATTATTATATATATATAATATGATTATATGTTCATATACGTTCACTAATTAATTACTTTCATATACTATTTCATACTGATCATGCGGCCAAAGCATGAATGTGTCAATCATCTGGGATGGCTCTGTGTCGTTTCTTCCTGTCTCATAGCTTTGGCAGGACACGTATGGACACGTGTTGAAACTCTGGTCCCTATGTATCCCATATACCTTTTGCATCTGCTAACGGCAGTGAAGGCAAAAGAACTGATGCTTTTTGCTTGTCCAAAGATCTTGATCGATCAGTTTCTGCTTGAAGAAATGACATGTTTCGACTCTACGCCTTTCGGACATGCAATGAACACCTGGAGGCATTTGCTACCATCCAAGCTTCACACAATGCGCACCCAGCGCATTCAATAGCATTAATTGTATTTAATTCTCAAGTCTTTCTGCAGGAATTTAGTATCCATTGCTAAAGCCCCCCTTCAACTCAACCTGTAGCATTGGCACTGCCCCAAAGTTGGGTGATGCTTATTGTTCTTGTGTATCTTTCGTCTTGACTGGTAACCAAATGTATCAAAATACGTGTCCCATCGTGCTCCGTATCACCAAGAGTTACCAAGCCTCCTGCATCCACGGCTGTAGCAAAAAAAGCCCTGCTCTCTTCTGCAACTGAATTGAGGAACATTTCTGCCAGATTCGTGTTGCCCTGCTCAGCTGTGACGTGTAGAATCGTCCGCTGCCGCCGATCTCTGGCCGTGACAATGGCTGTCAACGCTTCATCACTGTTTTCGCAGGCCTGCAACACCTGCTTCAGAACACGAGACAATAAGTGCTCCAACAAATCCTCTAAAGGTCGCAGTTGCATGATCTGCTCTTTGGCATTGATGGCATCCTGTTCCTTAAAACGCTGCAGCAAAGCCTGCGTCTTTGGATCACTCGCCTCAAGGTTTGCCAGCCAACGTTCGACCACGCGAAAGCCCGTACGAGATTGGGCTTTGAGCTCGCTCAAGGGATAGCGTTGCAAAGGTCGCAGCGTATCCAGATTTACAGTGAAGAAATCGAAAGGAGACCAATATCCTCCCGCAATGAGTTGTTTGCAATAGGCCTCTGACCAAGGATGTTCCGGAGCTAAGAGACGCTCCAAACCGGGCCACGCAGAAGGCCAAGCATGAAATTGTCGGAAAACCGTGTCTACGGTGTTCAGGAATCTGTTGCTGGTATAGTTTTGGCCCTGATACAAGATTCCAATAATACGGTCATAATCAGGGAAGAACAAGCTCAGTCTTTCCGGATATGGATTTTCCCTGTAGCAGCGTCTGAACTCTGTTAAGAGTTCTCGTGATCCGGGACCAGCCAATTCCTCGGCAATGTCCAATCCTGCCCGGCAAAGCAAACGGGGCTCCCTCCGTGCCTTGGCTCTGGTGGTTCTGGTGGTTCTGGTGGGCGAAAGGAGCCCATTCCGCCCATTCCACTGGACAAAGCTGGTTCGAAAGGAACCCAATGGCACCAGCCAAAGTCCAAGAGCAAGGGCTCCAAGAGCCCAAAGAATGGCACCCTTCCGTCGGACCATTTCGGCAAAAATTGTCAGAAAAAAAGAAATTGAAAGGAATACCCGACTTGGGCTGCTGTTTGGATCTGCTGTATTCAGATAAATTCTAAGGAATGATTCAACTGATGTGTTCAAAGTCTTTCAAATGAAGGTCCAGCACAATTCCCCACGGTGGAGCTGCGCTTTGCTGTTTTGTGTGACTTATTGTGACTTACATCACTTCATGATCTACCTTCGTGACCTACCCACGGATCCCCATGCCATTGTGCATTTATTGAATGCTTGAGCAAGCCAGCGCTGCAATCTATTTGGATGTTGCAATGGACCGAGCATATTCAAGTTGACAATCGCAAAGATTGTGCAAAGGAGAAACAAGAAATCAAGGAGCTGCTGCGCGGCTGCCATCTTTTTCAAAGGGGTGGGCTCTGTACGGAGCCTTACCTTGAGCAAAAGGCTCAGATAAAAAGCAAATTTGGAGCAAAGGAAAGCAAATAGCGAGCACTGTGCTGGATTCATGGAGTGTGACGATTGCTCTTGCATTGCAGGTAGTTCAAACATTATGATTGCTACTGACCAATTGACAGATGTTGACAGTAACTCCTTGGTTCCTCTTCCAAGTCGTTTCAAGGATACCCTGGGCCCACGGCCGAATCTTCACCATGGGCTCTCCAATGCTCGACCGAGCGGAATCCCTTGCTGCTGAAATTTGGGAAGCTCAATGTGTTTCAAACGAATACATAGAATACATAGATCTTTGGGAAACCTGCTGGCCCTGCTGGCAGGCTAGCAATTTTCATCAATTTTCCAATTCTGTAGATCTTAGGGCGGCACTTCACCATTTGAAGAATACCGAAGGAACCTGTGAGTAGTTCTGCGACCAAAGAGGTGAACAGCAGCCAAACGAACGGCGACACCTTGGTGAATCATGACCTTCTCATTGACCGTTTGGCCGTTTGGTTGGCACAGGGTCGTCTAAGGGTCGTCTAAGGGTCGTCTAAGGGTCGTCTAAGGGTCGTCTACACAGGTCTGGATAGATCGGATAGGTATTGAAGTCTTTTGCTTTCAGATGCTTTCAGTATGTTCAGTCACATGTCAGATGTCAAAACCATGGGTTCATCTGGGTTCATCTGGGTTCATCTGGGTTCATCTGGGTTCATCTGGGTTCCTTGCATCCACTCCAGCTTCGGGCTTCAAGATCATTCGTCTCAGTACCCATCGATCTTCACTCCATCGAAGACATCGAAGCGTCATTGAGTGCCCCACGTTGGACCAAGGATGAACTCAGTAGGGTAGTGGCAGATCGCGTAGGGCCAGTCGGATGTCTTTAGCTGGCGGAAAGCAGACACATCTGCAACATCTGCAATTACGTATCATTGCGTTACAAGAACTCGGTATCCTAAGAGGGAGATGATCTTGTTATTTTTTGAACCGATCTGGTACTGGAAAAGGTGTCGAGCCTTGGGAAACTGCGCCAAAAGCACCTAAAATGTGGTGCCAGGAAGCAGGGAGGCACAAAAGGTGCAGATTGGGCTCGAATGAAGAAGAACATAGAAGAACACATGTTGTGTCGGCAAATCAGATGTAGTTACTACAGTTTGAATATGAATGACAGGTCCTGGGATGCAAGCTCTGGCGAGGAAAAGTAGCTGGTACAAGTTCAAGAGAGGCTTCAGGACATCTAACCTCAGTTGAAAAATTGCAACGCCGAGGACTGACCAGCTGGATACCACCCAACAATTTGGACCATTTATGGTCCGTTGACAGTTGAATCATTCTTGGATTACAGAACTTATCAAGGGGAAACTTCGATTTCGGTGTGTTTCTCTTTGGATCATACATCAAAGCCAAAGGTGCCTGGGGCACTGCAGTTTGACTTCCTGACAACCTCTCCTTGAATCTCCAACTTCCAACTTCCACTGAATAGAGAACAGGGGCTGTTCGAAATCCTGGAGAATCATGGAGAATCCAACGAGCAATCTGCAAGAATCCGAATGTCAACCTTATAGATCCAAGCCCGATGTGGAACAAACACCATTAAAATCATATCCAACATATTCCATAAATCAAACTTCAAAAAAAAACAGAATTGCCATGCCTAAGTTTTGATGATTTCTGATTCTGGATTTTCCCAACGTGGAACACATCGCAGGGAACCGCTGGGCATCCAACAGCTGAGCTGCGACCGCCGGTTCCAGCTGAAGCCGCGCAATGACCCAGGAGCCACCAGCACCCACGGCCAGAACCACCGTCAACAGCGCGGCCCAAATCCCCGTCCATTCCAAGAAACCTCGGAAATCTCACTGGAAATCTGACTGGAAATCTCAGAATCTCCAAGATGAAGACAGTTGGATGGACAGAAATGAACAGAATCTCACATGCTTGAAGCCATCTCAAGAGCTAAAACGATTCCTCAAGCATGGGCATCTCTAACTGACCCTGTTGACAGTGAGGAAGCGAGAACGACACCTTCCACAATGCGGAAAGGCACAACAAGATCGCAAGATGATGTTCTGTTTGATTCTGTTTGTGTTGTAGAGGATTTGCCAATTCTTCCATTACCAAATTCGGCTCTGAGTGCTTTGCCCAAGCCGCCATCCGACCAAGGATTTGGCCTCGCTGCGGACTCCAGGGGGATCTGAACAAATCTTCAGTGCAGCTTTCATCAGCTGTGTCTCCTGCCCTGGAGGGAGTAAATCATCATCCTGAGCGCCAACTTGTTCGAAAGAAACGGATGTCTATTCTCAACAAATCTGAGCACATCTGAGCACCATACAATTCCTGGCACATCTGGGAGGCTAACCTCCCGAACCTGCAGCATGGCCCAGCGCTGGAACTGAGTTTTCCTTGCTGTGCAACATCATATTGAGATGCCCCGCTGGAAAGTGCTTCACCGATTTCATCTGGTTCTTTGAGTTTTAGGCAAAATACATCTGAAATCATCAGAATGCAATTTATTAGGATGTCCTAATACATGAAACATCATCAAAATACATCTGAAATTGATGTCAGATCATGTCATATCTTCCTGTTCTCCTACGGATAGCTTCGGCTTCTCAAAGATGCCTTCACCTGCGCTTGAACCGACGCTTCTCCACCTTCCTGCGGCAGCTTGTCATGACATGTCATGACATGTCATGACGTCACAGCTGTGATTCGCTGTGTTTGGAGTCTCCTCAGAGAAATCTGGGAGGTCTGGCAAATCAGCAATGTCAGGAACCTCCAGAGTGGCGATGCCCACAAACTATAGACAAACTGACGAACCAAAAAAGATATGTGAGATAGTGTGAGTCCACCAGAAATTGTCTCCGATTTTTTCTGCACACTTGGCTGCCCGAGCGTCCGGTGCTTGGGTCTGTCTTCCTGCGTCCAACAACCCTTTTTAGTTAAACTAAGACAACATCTGAAAAACCTCGGCATCACCCTGAAGTCTCACCTCCAACCCGCTGCCAATCGTATTGGTCTTCAGACCTAAGGGATCTGCTGATACAATGAGGATCTTAAAATATACAGTATTCAACTCAGTCAACTCAGTTACTCACTTGGACTAGCAGTGACTAGCATTTGCAAGTTTCACTATGTTTCACTATGTTTCACTATGTTTCACTATGTTTCACTATGTTTCACTATGTTTCACTGATTCTAAGAATGCCACCCTTCCTTTGCATGTCGCGCAAGGTCACTCCCCTGTCATGACACAGTGGAGTTCAATCATTTCAATGATAGGCATCATAGGATTCATAGGCAATGCGGAGCCAAGCCATGTCTGAGGTACCCTGAGACTTCGCGGGACCTGACATTGGCTCTGTCAGCGAATGTCACTGCAACAAGCAACGAACGTGGTACCCTGTGGTACCCTGAGCCCGGCCGGGACGAACGCGGCTTTGGCGAGGAAAATTGCCACCAGCAGGCACCCTTTCGCCTCAGAAGATTGGTCATATTATGATATATCTGGTCATGTTTAGTCTAGACTTTGCACCCATCTTTGCACCCTACATGTATTCCTGCTGAATCATGACAGACCTCAAAACACTAACGATTTTAACGTCAGTCTGTCAGTTCTTCGGGAACTCCACAAAAAGAAGGCAAAACTATGCACACAATTTCTCTGGTAACTTTGCCGGACTCAAATTGATCTTTGCAGGTGTTTGTTGCGATGTGCCTGCCGCCTCGTCACTCCGAAGGCTCCTAGGACACGTGAAAAAAACCCTTTTCAACCTGATGTAAATCAATTCAAAATTCAAAAGAATTGTAATTGTGCAACCCTTCACTGTTTCAACACTCTCTCCATTTCACCTGTTTGCCTCCCTGCCATGTCAATGTCGCTTGGCTTCTGTGCACCCAAATCGGGATGATCCTCGACGGAAACCCATGGCGCGAGAAAAATCAGCTGAAGTCAACGCAGGAAAATGCAATGCGAAATCATGCGGAACTGTTTGAAACCGGAAGATATGAAAGACTGCCAGATGTCTTACACATCGTTGGTTTGCTGCTGGTTCAGCCTAAGAAATTTGCTTTGTTTTACCTGCCCCACTCAAACACATGCAGGTGAGCAGGAAACGAAGCAAATGTTTGGGCGAATTCTGACTTCCGGACATGCCAAAACCCAAATGTGAAACATTCCCGGAAAACCCAGTTACTGAAACCATTTCGAACCTTAAGCATCAAACAGACTAAACAATTAAAAACACTAAACCGTTAAACCTGTGTTCTTTGGCATCAAACAGGGAGAAACACATGAATAGTGATTTATGATCGTCTGGTTATATTATCTCACAACAATGCTTGCTTGATGCACTGTTTGAAATCAAAGCTCAAAGAAATGCGAAGTGCAAAAGCCGCGGCATCTTTTGCATCAAATGGCATATGGCTCATTCGGCCGTCTGAAGAAAGGAACGTGGGCACGGCATTTGGGCCCGGAAATGATGGCGTGATGGACCTGGCAACGCATCAGAATTGAAGGTGCATGCCTGACAAATCTTTACACTGGTCTTTGTTGTCCATCAAAAAGCCGTCTTTCGCTTGGTTCTTCACGTATCTGGCACCATGGTCTTTGACACCATTTCGTCAGGGCTTGTTGAAGCTTCGGGTCTATTTTGGTGAGGCCGTCGCAGTGCATTAGGGTAGTTGGAATCCAATGCACTTCTTTCGGTGACATGGCCTGCTGCACTGACCTAATGGAAACCATGGAGCGCTTCTCCAGAGTTGATGGGTTCTCTGAAGTGAGACAGTCGTACAAACTTTTTGCGTCTGTCGCCTGTTTCATCGGCATCTTCATTCCACATTTGAAGCTGGGCTGGTTGTGGAGCAACTCCGAAATGTGGTAATTGGCGTAGCAGGCACGGTCTGCAGCTTCGTCTGCTGCATGGGCCTCTGCAGCCAGTGTGCTCCTTGCCACTCTCTGCATTCTGCCACTCTTCCAGTCGATGACCAAGGCTTGACAAGTCTGTTCGGAGACTTGAGGAGGGCACAAGACTATGATCACGCCAAACTGTGATGTGTAGTTTGCAGCGTTGCACCAGCTTGCATCTCCATAAGCCAAAATGGTCGTCCCTTTGTTCAATGGGACGGCTGGAAAAACGATGCCAAGCTCTTTGGTGCTCTTCGCATAGGTGATAGCTTCGTAGGCCTTTTGAAGGTCTTGTATCTGCGATTTTGCACCGTGGTGGCACAAGGATGCCACGGCAGCCAAATCTGGTCTTGTCTGGCCGCTCAACCATTGCAGACTGCCAATTACTGAACGTAGTTCTCCAAGTTCTTCCGGAGAAAGTTGAGGATCGCCTTTCAGGCGGTCTTTGAAAACTTGTCCACCGTCCATAGCTTCGATGAACTTCTGCTGGCTGATCTTGTAGGAGATCTTGCCATTGGCGTCTTTCTGCATGGTGATTTCTTTGCCACGATATTCTCCAGGCTGTTCCAGGGAAACATACACGATTGATCCCCAGCGAAACAACTTTCTCGTCGTCGATGTTGAACTTCTCAGTGTTGTACACTAGCATGAAGTCGTCGACGTGAACTATCAGAACGCAGGTCAGCATTCCATCATCGTTCACGAAATAGTAGCAGCATCGGTCAAGGCTGTGGCGCTTGAACCTGTAGTTGAGCAAATCTTTGTCTACCTTTTTGTACCAAGTCCTGGGTGCATTGGACAATCCATAGCAGTTTCCAGTGATTTGGTACAGCGGTGATGGGTATGCATTTGCAGCGGTCAAAATGGCATCTCTGGGACTTTCCATATAAATTGGTCCGCTGCGCTCGCTTGCATCTTGTTCTCCTTGTAGAAAAGCTTTCTGAGCATCAAGGAGAACCATCTTCCAAAGGCAGCCATCGTTGTTGAACGAGCGATTTGCTCCAGCTGATGCTATGCACACGATCAGCAGCTCACTGATTCTCGAAGGAGTAGGACTATCTCGAGAGAGCTGTTTCAGATCTGGATCTCCGCAGCCAATGATGACTACTCTGCATTTTGGTCGCAGTGGTGGCACTCCGCGGTTCTTGTCGCGGTAGGCTGCACGAGCCTTCATGATTCGGTGTCGTTGTTTTGGATCTGCTCGAATCTTGGTGGCATCTTCAGGGCTCACTGGTTTGATGCCGTTCCATTCAAGCCAACCATTGTACTCATCAACGGCCGCGTCCACATACTTCCAAAAGGTGTCGTCGCCTTGTTGGAGGATCTGCCGCCATGGGATTTCTCTATCCATCTGCTTCATCTCCTGCCTTGACATTCCACGGTCGTTGGAGACAGTGAGTTCTTCGTCAGAAGAGGAATCAAGGTCTGGTCGTGATGGTTCAGGAACGTTGGGCATCTCCAATTGGCGTTGTTTGCTGTTGAGGTAGGCTTGATAGAAGACCTGCTTCTTGCTGGCTGGGTAGCACGCTTCAGGGCTGCCATCCCATGTCAATGGTGTTGGTGCCATGCTGCCGTCATCGAAGTGCTGGAATTTCGTGATCAGCGCTTCTGCAGGTGTGCTTGCTGCTCGCTTCATTGGAAGTTGTGGTAATGGCTCGGAAGCTGCTTGTGGTAGTGGCTCCAGTTGTGCTTGTTCTTGGTTTGTAGTTTGATCAAGCTGTAGTGGTAGGTTAGGTTGTTCCGTTGTGTTGTCGATTGCTGGTCTTTGTTTTGGCTTTGCTTCATCTGCTGGAGCTCTGCTTGGTGTCCTCGACCTAGGTCTGTTGCGTGGTGTTCGAGGTACTGCTCCAAAGTTTGCTTGACCAAACTGTTGGAATTGCTGGTGTGTTGGTGAGTCAACGTTAATGTTGATAGTGCGCCTGTCTTGATA